TAATTTTTTTATAAAGCACCCTTAAAAAATGTATCTCCGGGCGCTATGCATGTATGAGAAGGCGGAAATAGTTTAACATCAACCCAAAGAAAGGGGATGTGAGAGAGATGTTTGAAAACAACTAAAGAGAGAGCCATTTTAAACGGATATATGTTCTTGGTCTTGCACACCATTGGTCAAATAAGTGCTGCTGCCATTGGGTAAATTATGGCCCACGTTTAACTGCCTCTTGTAACTTAGCGTTTGTTGAGTGTAAGCCTGTTGAAATCAAATGTTCCCTGGGGAGAGAGATATGGTGAAACGGCACTGCGGGGCTGGCTTATCCTGTCCTCTGTATTACCTTTGACAACTTCATCCCCTTCCCTTCATCCGGCTGTGCCTTGTCGCATTCATGACGAAGCCAGCCGTCACTGTTGATGTCCCATAATTATTGCTGAAGAATATCATCGTGTCGAGGGTAATCAAACACAACGGCGTTTTTATTTTCATGTCAACATTAAAAATGTCGATCAAATGTTCGCGTGTACCCCACTGAGAGGTATTTATTTTGGTTTCTTATCAGGTAATACATGTCATGCTCACTAAAATGCCCATCTTGCCATATGCACTGTGCAGAAGTACGTGTCTCTACTAATCAAACATCATGAAATATATTTAATAAATAAATGTATACACAAACCCATCTAAGTGTCACATAGCAAAAGATGATATACAGGAGACGCCAATACTAGCTTCTGAGCACAACGATTGATAGATGTATTTATTACTTTTTATTTAAGCTGGATAAGGACATGTCTGGGTCATATTTGCATTTAAAAAAGTTCATAAAACAGCAAAATGTAAAAAATAACATGAGCAATATAAAATGACAACAGCCGTGCATCCTCATACATATAACTAGAAACTGTATTGAAAATATTAAAAGTGAATACACTTTTGGCAATGGCTTTAAACACATTCCTGCGGAGGGAGCTGGTAGGAACGTTGGGTTGCTCGGTCAATGGCCAGGGTCAACGGCGGCGTGGTGTATTCCGCAAATATGGCCGACTGTGAGGGCGGGCACAAGCCGGCGTGAGTAGGTTAAACGTTGAGTTTTATAAGGGCACCACGGGGTGAGCAGCCCCTCCCCACCCTCCCCACCCAGCCCCTCCCCATCCAGCCCCTCCCCACCCTCCCCACCCAGCCCCTCCCCACCCAGCCCCTCTCTGCACGACGGACGGACACAATAATCCCCTGTGGGCTGGTGTAACCAGGAGGTTCCTACCAGTATTAAGCATCGTTCATACGAGAGGCGATGATTCCGGTTAATTAGCGGAGGGTGGCAGATAGTGGGGCTGAACCCGATTAAATATTATCTCAAGCTGACATCGTTTCACGAGACAGCAGTGGCAGGGGAAATTAATCCCTGGCGGATTTTTGTTTTAAAACAAAATAAGTAATATTTTAAAATACTTTTTTAAAAACACGCTTTCATGAAATGTACCATACTCGTAATGGCAGAACTCCACGACTCCAGGAAGTGGCCCCGAAGCTTGCCATAACATAAGGGACCGTGGCCAATTACAGCCAACGTCAGTTGAGCGTGGACAATTAGACCCAAGCCGAAACATAACATATAAAAAAGAATGTTTAAAAAAATTATAGAATATAGTATTCTCATTAGTATGACAAAAGTATACCAAGTTTGCAGTCGATACACATTGGGAAGTGGGTCAAAATTGAGTTACAAGATTTGAGGATACGACAACAACAACAACAACAGAGTGAGTTAATAGAAAGCGTGTAAAAAGATCGTTTAAACATTTATATTTTTATGATAGAATATAGTATTGTAATCAGTATGACATAAGTATACCAAGTTCGCAGTCGATACCACATTGGGAAGTGGGTTAAAATTGAGTTACAAGATTTTAGGATACGACAACAACAGAGTGAGTTAAATAAAATCGTGTCATAGAAAAATCCTCACTGTGCAATCGGCTTCGTGTCCGGTGTCACAAGATGTCCGGATCTCCCATCAGAGGGGCGCAGCTGTGTTAGGGAAATCCCACCGAAGATGATATCACAAAACTCCTACTGAGATCCCTTCAAGTGACCTCTTAGCAACACACTAGGGGCGCAGCATTTTCCCAACCTACTACGAATAGTAAAGTGCATGCATCTCATAATAGTCAAACTAATATTTGCTATTCTCTTAGCAGGAATTAGCCAAATTTATTCAGGACCCACTTGTAATGTGATGAGTTTCCTGCAATCATCGGTGACCAGGTTGAGACCATGAACCCACAGCAATTGATAACCCGGTTGAATCACGGCTGACCAGAGCCCAGATTTGAACCCAGGAAGTCGGTGGTACCAGCTCAGCGCTCTCTGGCCACCAGGCCGCACGGCCACCTCGGAATTCCTGGCGACTTTACGTGGCCGCCGTTGGCACCGAACCGTCCTCCCGGTTGCAAACGACTCTTCCTTGCGCACACATGCACGCACGCCCACAGCCAGGGCCTCCAGCAACGGTGGTTTGGCTGTGCCGCTCTCTCCTCCTCCCTGCCAATGAATCCACTCACCCGCAAGCGGTCGCCATCCAAAGGCAGCGCCGTACAAACAACAACAACAAAAACAGAATGAAATCTCAGCGGGCCAGCTGTGTGCGGCTATTTATTATTTAGTTGTTTGCCGGCTCTTTGGTGGCAACCTGTGGCAGAATGACGTGCACTGCGAGCTGTCTCCGTGTGTGTGTGCGCGTGTGGTTTCTCTTGGTCAGATCCATTATGTTATCGATCCCCATTGTGCAGAGGGAGGGACGCGATTGTGTTGTGTCTGTTTGTGTTAGAGCACAGGTCTCCTTCTTCTTCTTTTGTTTGGGTCTGAATTGAGACCCAACTGTAAATCATGTGTCCACGTTTCTACATCAGGCTGCTGGCTTGAGAGCAGAGCGAGTGAATGCCACTCGTGCCCTCGGTGAACGCTAGCAGTGGACACGGATTTGCACAGAGACCGATCGACTCAGAGACCCACTGACTCGCATAAAGACCCACAGACGCACACAAAGGACCCACGGACTCGTACAGAGACCCCTAAGGTTGCAGTGGACATGACCTCATGATGGAATGATACATGTCCGAGGGCATATCCACCGAAGAGATGCAGCGGATGGAATCGGCTCGCTGTCGAGTGCTGGGTGGATCGATACATCGCGGGGCCCTAAAGGACGGGGACAGCTTGAGGAGGCCTTCATCCAGCAGTGGATTGATTACGGGTGGTGATGATGATGATGATGATTGCGTCATCAGTGTGGATGGTGTGGGGTTTTGGGAGATAGCTGATGTCTCTACAACGTATTCCACACACAGCGCTTGCGAACAGAAGCAGATTTTTGGCTTTACGTTAGACACATTTCCATGGCTCAAAACGAATTTTTCAGTTTTTGCGATCGCCCCCAGGGTTTCCCCCTTCCCCGTAGATTGTGTTTTTGATTACAGCATTTCCTTTTTGTTTACGAAGACAGCTTCCAAAACAACATTCTGGCATGCGATTGTTTGATTACCGGCAAGAGTTTATGTTGTTGTTGTTTAATCAGTACCTAGTGCTCACAGAGCAGCCAGATCTCTAAATATCTAGAGGCTTGAAATGCAAAATTACCAGCTGCCTTTTAAGCTTCTTGCAAATAGCGGTGAGGTAGTTGAGAAAAGCGAAACTTAAGTTGACTTGACAAGGGGGGAAAAAAACGCCAGCTAGCTTCGAGTTTATTGACTCAAATTTACAAGACACCATGTATTCTAAGGTCATTCATGAAATGTCAGCTCAGAAATAAAATTATTACTCGCATACAACATTACTGCTTAGCTCGTTTTGCATTGACATTTAAGATTTTATGTATTTGCCTCCTATTAGTGCTGCACTAATGGAATTTTAGTGCGTCAATTGTGCTTTCATTTATCTTTGACATTTTCATTAGATCTGTCGCCACACGTCATACCTCTATCAGTGTTCTCATCTTTTAAAACGGCGCTTCCTGAGCAAGTGTGGAATATTAAATAGGTGTATTTGTTCCATACAACCGCTGTTAAACCCCTCCCTTCCCATGTCAGATGCTCGGCCGTTTTTTTGTCCGGGTTGCTATTGAATCAGAGCTTCTTAGCTTAATGGGCCTTACCCAAAAAAAAACACGACTTGACTGACTGACATGTGAACACATGTTGGTTTTGTGCAGGGCCCTGTACAAAAATCGAAGAAGTCGTTAATTCCTGACAATGTTATACGTCACAGGAAAGCTTTTCTAAATACATGTCCGCTACGCAATCGTAAACCCTATCAGAGGGCAGCTTGGTCACAGCACTCTTTCTTTGGGCTATGATCTGTAAACAAAAATAAGAGGTCGCGATTGTCACATTAGCCTTTACGGACTGACCATAGATCCATAGATATGGTCAGGTACTTCAGAGGGCTTGTGCCATGTCAGAGATTTGTGCTTTCACCACTGGGAGCCTGTGTTTGTGTCTAGGCGTAGTTAGCCTGGTCACCAATGGCTGCACACGCAATTATACAAACGTGTCTTTATCGTATGCAATTGAGTTTGTGACTTGAATCGGCGTGTTCCAGCTCTGAGAAACTTACGTTTGGCTTAGTTGACTTGCGACACACACTCATGCAGGACTTGTCAAAGATATTGCTCCTCGTGTCGACAAGGAAGCATATTGAAGTGACTTCAGAAAGTTGTCCAGGTCTGTTCTCTGACACAACGCTGATGAACTGCTGGCTGTGAAGATCCTCACGAAGCTTTCTTCACCGCACGACAAGACGCTGTTAACACTATTGGGGGGAACACAAAACGTGCGGATCGGTGCGTTCAAAGAGTTTCTTGGGCCTCGCCGAAAACACTCGGCGCGTTGTTTCCTGTGATGAATTTCCCACTCCCCTCCCGTGACCATAACAGTTAACCACATTGAGGCATTGGTTGTTATTGTGCGTAATCAATCGTCCGTTTGTTGTTTTGTTCCCAGCGCCTGACAGCACTGCTGGAGTGATTGCGAAGACCATCGAGATAACGCTGTACAAGGAAGGCAACAGCTTTGGCTTCGTCATCAGAGGCAAGTGTTCGTTCTCCCTCCGAGAAGGTCGCGTGAGGCCACTGGAGATGCTGTGGCTCAGGGGGGCATGCACGGCGTAACGCGCACCGCTTGAAGATGGTAACTGAGGAGTGGTGACACGGCCGTGCGCTCGCAGCGTTTGCCGCTTGTTCCAAAGGTTGGCGGTTAAATCTCGGTGGCCAACCTGGTTAATACCGTGGGTTGATTAACTTTACGTACGTGCAACGTGCAACCTGGCTCACCGTGCACGTTTGCGAGCATGTGACTGTCGTACGAAAACGAGAGATGGCCCGTACGTGCACAGGTGTTATGGTCCTAATTTGCGAAATTTGGAAGAAATTTTTTGACGCGTAGCAAAATTGCTCTTTGTTGTGAAACTTCTACAGACTATACCCATCATTGCAACATAGTTTTGTGATAGTTTTGTGCTATAATCGTGGTGCAAATAACAATGGTGAGCTGTGTCGAGTAAGCAGACTCATTGCAACAGCAAGCTGTTGCCCCTGAACATGTATTCATGCTCCACCATCCGTAGATGCTGCTCTCTTATATTCACTGTTTGGGACCCATCATTCTGGCCGTAGCTGTTTTATCTGACCTAATAGTGGCTTGTTTTGGCCCACACAAGAATCGCTGATAGAGACTTGTGTACCCTTGGACCTAATCTTGTTGCGGCCTTAATTGCTACGGATAATGTAAGTGACCTTGATTTGAAGCTTTCGTGACTGCAGGAATCCATATTCTTTGGTTCTTTCGGTAAAGTCACGTAGAAAAATAATAGATCACGACGTTTCGATCGCCACACAAGCGGTCGTCCCGAAAGAACCAAAGAGTCATGTAAGTAACATTCAGTATATTTTTATTTGACTCGGTGTTGTGCATATCATTATCAGAGTTGTCTCTTTTTGTTTGCATTTTGACTGCTTGTGTTGTGGTTATTCCAAACATGATCCCTTGTATAAAAGTCTCAGTTTTGGTTGCCAGAAAAAGGGTAAAAACCTATTACTACAACATGCGGTATATTTTTCGACTGTACAGTAGTTACAGCTTGGTAAATTTAAAAGTAAATCACCCACGCTGGTCCTGTCCTGCGTACATCGCCCGTGGCACTGGCAAAATATATTCCCTTGGGCCACTTGGCTGCTCTGATGGAGGGGTCAGGCCCTGTTTTCAATTGCTCTATTTCACTTTCAAGCTCAAGCTGCACCTTTGAACCAACCCATACCCCTCCCTCTCTTGCTGAAGTCCTTGATGACAGTGATTGTTCAAGGGGCATCGTGTTGTGGTATGACTCGGTGTGGTGGTAGGATGACTCGGTGTTGTGGTAGGATGACTCGGTGTTGTGATATGACTTGATGTTGTGGTAGGATGACTCGGTGTTGTGGTAGGATGACTCGGTGTTGTGATATGACTTGATGTTGTGGTAGGATGACTCGGTGTTGTGGTAGGATGACTCGGTGTGGTGGTATGACTCGGTGTTGTGGTAGGATGACTCGGTGTTGTGGTATGACTCGGTGGGACAGGTGGCGCCCATGAGCAGAGGCACAAGTCGAGACCCATCCTGGTGACGTGCGTAAGACCGGGCGGTCCTGCCGACCGGTGAGTTTCCGTCACCACCGTCACGCTTGTCACGCACCGTCACGCACCGTCATGCACCGTCACCACCGTCACGCTTGTCACGCACCGTCACGCACCGTCACCACCGTCACGCACCGTCACCACCGTCACCACCGTCACGCACCGTCACGCACCGTCACGCACCGTCACGCACCGTCACCACCGTCACGCACCGTCACGCACCGTCACCACCGTCACCACCGTCACCACCGTCACGCACCGTCACGCACCGTCACGCACCGTCACCACCGTCACCACCGTCACGCACCGTCACGCACCGTCACCCACCGTCACGCACCGTCACGCACCGTCACCACCGTCACCACCGTCACCACCGTCACGCACCGTCACCACCGTCACGCACCGTCACGCACCGTCACCACCGTCACCACCGTCACCACCGTCACCACCGTCACGCACCGTCACCACCGTCACGCACCGTCACGCACCGTCACGCACCGTCACCACCGTCACGCACCGTCACGCACCGTCACGCACCATCACCACCGTCACCACCGTCACGCACCGTCACGCACCGTCACCACCGTCACCACCGTCACCACCGTCACGCACCGTCACGCACCGTCACCACCGTCACGCACCGTCACGCACCGTCACCACCGTCACCACCGTCACCACCGTCATTACCGTCACCACCGTCACGCACCGTCACCACCGTCACGCACCGTCACGCACCGTCACCACCGTCACCACCGTCACGCACCGTCACGCACCGTCACCACCGTCACCACCGTCACGCACCGTCACGCACCGTCACCACCGTCACGCACCGTCACGCACCGTCACCACCGTCACCACCGTCACGCACCGTCACGCACCGTCACCACCGTCACGCACCGTCACGCACCGTCACGCACGTCACGCACCGTCACCACCGTCACGCACCGTCACGCACCGTCACGCGAACTCCGGTCATCCTCGCAGAAGCGGCTTGTGGCTGGCCATCGAACAAAGACGGTCACTGCATCACGCGCTTCCAGATGCGCTTCTGCAGATTTCTGGAACCCTCTTCCGTCTAAATTATAAGAAGCCCACTGGAGCTATGCCTTTTAAATCGTCTAGATTGAAAACTAATTTCTTTAGAACTGCTTTTTGTGTTTAGTTTGTTGTCCTTCCCCCGCACCTCCGATTAGCACGGTTGGCTACGTACGGTGCAAAAGAAGTTCGACACCTTTTCCACTTCAGACCAAACGCAGATGTATTTCTCAGTCAGCCAAGGTCTGTTATCAAAGTTGTGCAGTATAGTAGAGCATACGGTCAGAAAATTCAACACATCAGAATTTGAATTTTTATTTCGACTGGAGGAGGAATACGATGAGCTGTGGACCTCTTTTTCACCAATGTCCAGTAGGGGCAGTTTGGCAAGTTACATTACCACCACCAGAGCTCGGTTACAAATCAATTTCTGCCAACCAATTCCCAGACTTTCCGGGTCAAACCTGGACAGGCGGCAACCGTACACACACACACACCTCGCCAGCCGAACATGTCTACCCATTGTATGATGTTTGAACTGGGCCTCTTGTCTCCCATCAGGCTGTTGTAAATGGTAGATCGGATATTACGCTGAATTATTGGGTCAAAGGTCGAGTGTGTTAGTAGTTTTGGCCTCATTTACATATATTACATATTGTAAGCCTTCAAATGACCCCACATTCCTTGAAATTGGTGGAGCAGCCTAGTAGGATGCTCGTACATACGTGCATTTAAAGATAGCTGTATAGGTTAGCTGATTATATTTAAATTAAATATATTTTAAAAGGTTGTTTGTCCACATATAATTTATATCAGTTTATCATAAACCATCCTGACCAATGCTTTCCAGCAGTTCAAGCAGCTTGTGACCCTCTGAAAAGGCTCCATAGTCATCTCCGTTAAAATAAAATGACGAAAATAATCTCAATAAAAAAATAATCCCTCCTCTCACGCGTACAACGGGATACGGTGCGTAATTTATGGAAACAAACCTGCAATAATCTACAGTTTCCGCTAATTTCCACGGGCGGTTTACCGGACGACGTAGCGGAACCGCGAAATAAGCTGCGACTTTAATAAGGATCGTTAATGGATTGGCGTTTAGGCGCTGCTAATGGACTGTTAATTATCTCGTCCGTAATTGATTTTTGGGCAACTAAAAAGAAAGCCGCCGCCGCCGCGTGATTTCCCTCCCTCCTGTGTGGCCGCTCCTTCCACCGCCGCCGCGGCCTCCGCAGGGAAGGCACGCTGAAGGCGGGCGACCGGCTTCTGAACGTGGACGGCATGAGCCTTCACGGCGTGTCGCACGCCGAGGCGCTGGCGATCCTGCGCGAGTGCGGCCAGGAGGCCACGCTGCAGATCGAGTACGACGTCTCCATCATGGGTACGAGGGGGCGGCGGCGAGCGCGTTCTGTACCCGAGTACGTTGAGCTTCTTTCGCGGCGCCGTGCGTAGCGAACTGTGCTCATCGCAGGTTCTCCAACAATAACAACAACTAAACGACAACAACGGTGGTGTTGCCTACGTACGGTGCGAAAGAAGTTCTACGTACGTGCAGCGGTGGACTGCGTTTACAAAGGGTGTGCAGGTTTGCATGTTTTGCCACAAGAATGTATGGTTAATGCAGACTTGATGCCTGAAATTGGTTTATTTTTCGTGTTTGAACATCTTAACCAGAAAGGGTGAAGGCCAAATAATATATTTCCATAATTTTGATGCTGGCAATAAAGGTCCCAAAATGATTTATTTAATCAGAAATGACAGCACGGGCAGTGCCCCCCAGCCCCGGACACTGCCCACCAGAAGGGGAGAGTTCCTCGCCCACCACCAGAGGTCGCAACCGGGTACCCGATACCCGTACCCTACCCGATACCCACTTTGTGACCCTGGTGCGGCCGGGTACGGGTACGGGTAGGCCGTGAGTCACTGGTGAGTAACCGTTTGTCACTCATTTCCCAACGTCTTGCCTCTTCTCACAATTCAAGTTCCTAGAATCAACCTACCCGCGCCTGCAACATGGCTTCATCCCAGAGGTCGCAATCGGGTACCCATACCTTACCCGATACCCGGCCGGGTACGAGTATCCGGGTATCGGGTACGGGTACCCGTTTTCGACCCTGGTACGGCTGGGTATGGGTACGGGTAAGGAATCAAAACCTGTTTGCGACCTCTGCCCACCGCTGGGTGTTGTGTGTCTCAGACTCCGTGACCAATGCCTCTGGGCCGCTGCTGGTGGAGGTGGCCAAGACACCGGGCAGCAGCCTGGGAGTGTCTCTGAGCAGCCCCGGGCACCTGCACAAGCCGACCATCATCATCGACAAGATCCGCCCAGCCAGTGTGGCCGAAAGGTTTGTGCATCCGTGTGTCTCTGTGTGTCTCTGTGTGTCTCTGTGTGTCTCTGTGTGCGTTTGAGCGGTAGTGTAGCGGTTCGGGCCTCTGCGCTACGAACTCGGTGACCCGAGTTTGATTGCCGTTCATGGCCAACACCAGTGACGATTATATGAATCGGTCCTGGGCCTCACCTAGGTCGACTTGACCTCAAATGGGTACGTGTTGCAGTCTGTTAACATCACCACACTGCCAGGGTGTGGTGTTGGCCACCCACTCCCTCGTGTGCCGTGTCGGCCTTCATAGGTGCTCGCTAACAGCACTTACCCCAAACGGTCTGTTAAGGCTATACGGGGTATCTTTGTGTATGTATGTCAGCAGTGGGGAGCGGTAGCAAAGAGGTAAGTGCGCTACTTTCACACCGTTCGTAGCCGACTGTGCTCATCGTACGTGAAACTAAACTTTTTATTTTACCATGTAAGGCCCCCACTGAGCTATATACAGTGAGGGAAAAAAGTATTTGATCCCCTGCTGATTTTGTACGTTTGCCCACTGACAAAGAAATGATCAGTCTATAATTTTAATGGTAGGTTTATTTGAACAGTGAGAAACAGAATAACAACAACAAAATCCAGAAAAACGCATGTCAATTTTTTATAAATTGATTTGCATTTTAATGATGGAAATAAGTATTTGACCCCCTCTCAATCAGAAAGATTTCTGGCTCCCAGGTGTCTTTTATACAGGTAATGAGCCGAGATTAGGAGCACACTCTTAAAGGGAGTGCTCCTAATCTCAGCTTGTTACCTGTATAAAAGACACCTTTTGACAGAAGCAATCAATCAATCAGATTCCAAACTCTCCACCATGGCCAAGACCAAAGAGCTCTCCAAGGATGTCAGGGACAAGATTGTAGACCTACACAAGGCTGGAATGGGCTACAAGACCATCGCCAAGCAACTTGGTGAGAAGGTGACAACAGTTGGTGCGATTATTCGCAAATGGAAGAAACACAAAAGAACTGTCAATCTCCCTCGGCCTGGGGCTCCATGCAAGATCTCACCTCGTGGAGTTGCAATGATCATGAGAACGGTGAAGAATCAGCCCAGAACTACACGGGAGGATCTTGTCAATGATCTCAAGGCAGCTGGGACCATAGTCACCAAGAAAACAGTTGGTAACACACTACGCCGTGAAGGACTGAAATCTTGCAGCGCCCGCAAGGTCCCCCTGCTCAAGAAAGTACATATACATGCCCGTCTGAAGTTTGCCAATGAACATCTGAATGATTCAGAGGATAACTGGGTGAAAATGTTGTGGTCAGATGAGACCAAAATGGAGCTCTTTGGCATCAACTCAACTCGCCATGTTTGGAGGAAGAGGAATGCTGCCTATGACCCCAAGAACACCATCCCCACCGTCAAACATGGAGGTGGAAACATTATGCTTTGGGAGTGTTTTTCTGCTAAGGGGACAGGACAACTTCACTGCATCAAAGGGACGATGGACGGGGCCATGTACCGTCAAATCTTGGGTGAGAACCTCCTTCCCTCAGCCAGGCAATTGAAAATGGGTCGTGGATGGGTATTCCAGCATGACAATGACCCAAAACACACGGTCAAGGCAACAAAGGAGTGGCTCAAGAAGAAGTACATTAAGGTCCTGGAGTGGCCTAGCCAGTCTCCAGACCTTAATCCTATAGAAAATCTGTGGAGGGAGCTGAAGGTTCGAGTTGCCAAACGTCAGCCTCGAAACCTTAATGACTTAGAGAAGATCTGCAAAGAGGAGTGGGACAAAATCCCTCCTGAGATGTGTGCAAACCTGGTGGCCAACTACAAGAAACGTCTGACCTCTGTGATTGCCAACAAGGGTTTTGCCACCAAGTACTAAGTCATGTTTTGCAAAGGGGTCAAATACTTATTTCCCTCATTAAAATGCAAATCAATTTATAACATTTTTGACATGCGTTTTTCTGGATGTTGTTGTTGTTATTGTCTCTCACTGTTCAAATAAACCTACCATTAAAATTATAGACTGATCATTTTTTTGTCAGTGGGCAAACGTACGAAATCAGCAGGGGATCAAATACTTTTTTCCCTCACTGTAGCTCTTTATTAGAAGTGACCTGGCCACGAATGGTAGCTTAACGAAGTGGCTTATGACGTGGAAATCATAGCAGCCAGACACTCAAGACGCATGCTGCTAAATGTGGAGGGAAAAACCTGAGGACCCGGATCAAAACCCACGCCAACACAGGGAAGAGAGAGAACTCTCAAACTCACGACCTCCTGCATACCCGGCGAGGTAGTTAACATCTCTCACCACCGTGGCGCCCCCATGTACGTAGAACAACAGTCTGAAAAGCGGTGCCGCTGAACCACGTCTCGCTCGCCCACGCTCGTCCCTCCGTGCCCCAGAGGTCGCAAACGGGTTTTGATTCCTTACCCATACTCGTACTCGTACCCGGCCACACCAGGGTCATAATCGGGTACCCGTACCCGTATCCTACCCGATACCCAGCTACCCGTACCCAGCTGGGTATCGAGTAGGGTACGGGTACCCGATTGCGACCTCTGGGATGAAGCCATGTTGCAGACGCGGGTGGGTTGATTCTAGGAACTTGAATTGTGAGAAGAGACAAGACGTTGGGAAATGAGTGACAAACGGTTACTCACCAGTGACTCACGGCTTACCCGTACCCGGCCACACCAGGGTCGCAAACGGTACCTGTACCCGTACCCGGCCGGGTACAGGTAGCCGGGTATCGGGTAGGGTACGGGTATCGGGTACCCGGTTGCGACCTCTGCCGTGCCCTCTGCGCCGCTGGCACCCGCAGGTGCGGGGCCCTGCACGCGGGCGACCAGATCCTGTCCATCGACGGCACGGGCATGGAGCACTGCTCGCTGCTGGAGGCCACCCAGCTGCTGGCGAGCGCCACGGACAACGTGCGCCTCGAGATCCTGCCCATCCGGCAGACGCGCCTCGCACTCAAGGGGCCCGAGCAAGGTGAGAGGCGGCGGGGTGGGCACGTGGGTGGACGTGCGGACGAAAGCTCGAATGGACGGACTGATGAATGGGCACGCGGGTTGACAGACGGACACGCAGATTGATGGACGCACACAGCGACACGTGCAGAGATGGAGAGATAGACCGATGGATGGGCACAAGGATACACGGACATACACGCGGATTTACAGACGTACATGAAGATAGATGGACACACACAGAGACACATGCAGAGATGGAGAGATAGACCGATGGATGGGCACACGGATACACGGACATACACGCGGATTTACAGACGTACATGAAGATAGATGGACACACACAGAGACACATGCAGAGATAGAGAGATAGGTGGACACATCGACAGACATGCAGATTGCCAAACAGAAATACAGATTGATGGACACATACAGACACGTGGATAGATAGATGGATGGACACACAGACACACAGACAAGCACATGGATTAATAGATGGACATAGAAATGGATGGGCACAGCCACACATGGATTGAAGGACAAATGGCCACAGGGACACATGGACAGACAAAACATTTGATGAACATGTGGACGGACTTGCATTTGGATGGACGGACACACAGATGGACAGATAGCTGCATGGATGGACACATGCATAGACAGACAGACGCGGACAGACAGACACAAACGGAAACAAAACTCTGCGTGTTGCAGGGTACAATGCAGCGGTCTCTCAAAGCGTATATTTTCAAGTTTCCTCTCAGCTTTCATTTTCCCTTTTCACTCTCTGCAAACTTCTGCCTTCGCTCGTCCGGCATCTCGGCTCTAAGGCCGCCTTTTCTCACTGTCCCCCCTCCCTCTTCCATTTCCTCTTCCCCTTCCTCACCGCCCCCTTTACCCCCCCCCCCCGCTCCTTCCCTCGCCCTCAACACTTCCTCCGCCGCTCCTCTCCCCATTCTGTCCGGGGGAGCGGCTGCAGTGAAGGTGCAAAAGAGTGAGAGGCACCTTTCTTGGGACCCACGGGCCTCCCACTTCCACACCTACCACCCAGGTGACGGCCGAGTGAGGGACCGCCTTCCTCCTCCTCCTCCTCCCCCGTCCCACCAACTGCACTCCAGTAAATGCCCTCCTCTGCCTTACTCTCACCTGCTCTTCACTGTCGCTTTGCGCTCTCATGAGAAATGGCTGACTCTGTTCAGAGTTGTTGTTGTTGTCTCCCCCCCCCCCCCCGCCTAAATTGTATCCTGTCGGTGTCATGGGCTCAGATGAATACTAACCCATTCGGGACTCTAGCAGAGCAATGCAACCCTTGGTGTTGGAGAAAGGTCCGCTGAAGTGTCCGTCACGGAAGTAGATCTGAGATCCCTTCCCCCCCCAGGGTCGCCCCTTTGCAAAAGAGGCGATGTTTCCCGTGCCTCACTGGCTTTATTGCCATCTCCCGATTAATTAAAGGATACCGAACTGATGCGACCTCTGGTCCACACAGTACATGCCAGCACTCTCCCGCCCCACCTTGCCACAGGCACTTATGCTCATGGCATGGCAATCTGGAATATAGCCAAGTTAAGTAAAGAACCACATTTAATGTGACGGTTTCTTGCCCAGACATTGGTGGGTGACTGGGCTGAGGCCATCGACTCGCTGAGCTTGAGAACTCTGTTTAATCACGGACGACTCGCCTGGATTCAAACCCAGGTCCCTCAGCGCTCTGACCTCTGAACCATTCGGCCACCTCTACTGCGGAACAGCGCTGTGGATTGTTGATGTGAGGCTGCCATCTAACTGTGTGTCAAGTGATGAGATGAATAACCTTTTTGGTTTATGCTGCCGTGATGTGCTTGTCATGCATATAATTTGTGGAGCATGCTTGTATTGTTAATTTGGTTGCCTGTATCATATATACCTGGCTTCCTGCCTGCTTTCTTGTATGTCTCTCTGTCTGTCTGTATCTGTCTATCCTTCTGTGCCCTTGTCTGCCCATCTATATGTATATTCTCATGCCTGTAAATCATTCTGCCTCCTAACGATCTGTCTCCCATCCATCCACATATCCATCTGTTTGTCCAGCTGTTAAATGTTCTGCCTTGGTGTAGTTCTGCTTCATTGCCTATTTGGCATTCCCGTCTCTGTGTGTCTGTCCGTGTGTCCGTGTGTCTGTCATTTTGGTCTCTCCCTGTATTTCCCCGCGTCTCTCTTTCTCTCTGTGCTACTCTCACCCCCATCCTCTGCCCTCCTCTCCCTGCCCCTCCCCTCCCCTCCCCCATCCCGTCTCCCCATCGCCCCCTCGCGCAGTGGCGATGGTGTCGGCCACGTTCTCTCCGACCTCCATGAGCGCTCACAGCATCAGCTCGCTCCACCCGAGCAGCCTGGGCCGCGCCACGCTGCCCCTGGGCTCGCGCAGTGCCTCCGTGCGTCGCCGCGCTCGCAAGAAGGACTTCAAGAGCTCGCGTGAGACCCCCGCGTCGTGGTTTGTGCTCTGTACTGGGCTCCTATAATAATAATAAAAAAAACCAGCTTGCGTACCACACTCACACCCAGGGCCCCGTTTCTCGTGGAAGGTTTCGGGGGTCCTCCGACCGTGCCTGACCCTTAGGAAGCTCGGCCGAGATGCGTGGTACTCAGCGAGGCGGCGTGGCACAGACCTTATGAAGTGCTATGGAATGAATATTATAATGATAGTGATGATCATGGCAGTAATTGTGATGTTGCTAGTGGTATTGAGCTCGTGATGATGGATATCATGAAGGTGGCGATGATGAAGCTGACTCGCCCCTGCTGGACATCTGTGAAAAAGAGCTTCATAGCTCATCGGATTCAGATTTGGCCAATTCCAGCAGCAACCGCTGACATCCTTTCCGTCATCATTATTACTCTTTTGACTCGAAGCCCCTTGCCACCCTCATCCGCCCCAAGTTGTTAATTGTGACCTTCGTCTGTGGGAGGGTGTCTCTCGCTTTGTGCTAAGGTCAGTCGCGGGAGGCGACGGCTGGCCTCGTTAGTGGCTGTCACGCTGGCCGGACTTGGCTGCGCATCAGGAAAGGCTCACCCCCCCCTCATCCCCCACCCCCGCCCCCCAGTGTCTCTGGCGTCGAGCAGCCTGGGCCCCGGCGGGCAGGTGGTGCACGCGGAGGTGATGGAGGTGGTGCTGTACGGGGACGGCCTGGGCAGCCTCGGCGTTCAGCTGCAGGGCGGCGTCTTCAGCACCGAGGTGCTCAACCTGCCCCCCGTTGTCAGCTTCATCGAGCCCGACAGCCCCGCCGAGCGGTGAGGCACTGGGGGGCGGCGGCGTGCGGCGACACCTTGTGGCGACACCATGTGGCGACACCATGTGATACCGTGCGACAACACCATGTGACACCGTGCGACACCAAGCGACGACACCGTGTGACATGACGCAGCAACGGCATGTCACACAGGACGGCAATACCGTGTGAAACCCCACGGCAACACCATGTGACACCGTGCGACACCACGTGACAACACCATGTGACACGACACGGCAACCGCATGTCACACCACGCGACAACACCGTGTGAAACCCCACGGCGACACCATGTGATACCGTGCGACACCACGTGACGACACCATGTGACACGACGCGGCAACGGCATGTCACACCCCACGGCAACACCATGTGATACCGTGCGACAGCACCGTGCGGTAACACCGCACGACGCGGACTGAGGCCCAACGCTGCGGCCAGGGCTTTGTCTTTTGAACCACCTTTGTCATCTGGGACCGCCACCTGTTAGGTCAGGGGTCGGCAACCAACATAACAAGGAAGAGGCTTTCTATTTTCGAATTTGGTAAGTAAAAGAACTCACAATTTCAAGAGCCGCAATGCGTGTGGTGAATACGAGAGGGTGGTGGTCCTTCGTAAATAACGTCGCGAAGCTCTCCTTAGAGAGCAGCGTGCAGATGGGGAACAGCACGTGGCCGACCCCTGAGTTAGGTCAACCGGCCCAGGCCCGCGTCCGTTTGACCTCTCGCGATGGGCTGTGGCCACTCAGGCCAATGGCCGGGAAAATATTTCCGTGAGAAATGAAGCATCCGCAGACCATTGTGGCGGTTGCTGTTAGCCGGTGCCGACCTTGGGCCAGCACGGTGCAGGAGAGGGGGGCGGTGAGGCCGGAAACCACGCGGTAAACAATTTTGTCTCCAATAAAGGTTTTTGGGTTAGATCGCGTAAATATAAATGTGTCGTTAAACACGCCACCACCTGACACAGCCAATTAGTAAAATTCAGCATGTCAACAGAAAATGGCCAATTTGTTACTGGTACAGCATACCGGTGTGTTGGAGAGTAAACCCACAACACTTACAATTCGAGTTTGTTCGTCGGGTGGTGGCGGATTTAACGACACATTTATATTCACGCGATCTAACCCAAAAATCTCTGTTGTGGATAATATCGGTGGCAAAAGCCTACGTGTTAAACTGAATCTCGTCTCTCTAGCGCCGATGTTCGCAGGCTGCGTCAGCTACTCAATTAAGGTTGAGTTGACCTTGAGAAGCGAGTGGAAGACCGGCGACAACATCCGTTTGTGCCGCACGCTGCAGATGCGGAGTGCTGCAGGTGGGAGACCGGCTGCTGGCTGTGGGCGGCGTCCCCACGGAGGAGGCCACGTTGGACGAGGTGCACCAGCTGCTACGTGAGGCCGCGGCTGGCGGCCGCACGCGCCTGCAGATGGAGTTCGACGTCGCGGGTGAGCGCCGACCTTGCGGGGGGGGGGGGGGGGTGGCTGGGGGTTGTTTGGGGGGCGCTGCTGTGAACGCGTCAATGCCGGCGTCACGGGGTTTACCGCCGGATTACACTGGTCAACACACTTTTTCTGGCATAAGGTATTCCGACGGTCTTAAGATAATTTTGGGGTGCTGATTCTAAATCTGGCATCAGTTTTTGTCTATCACATCAGGTTTGCGAGATATCAAATATTGCATTTTCAATTAAAAACTGCAGAAGAAAAATATTAAATAAAGGTGGATATCTACATAAAATGAAATTATAAACACACTATCCTAAATATACAGCACCATATTTTAACACTAAAGCAGTCACTGACTCGCAACAACTTGCAATCATAAGTGAAGGAGTTAATTTCGGGTAAAATCAATGAAAATGGGGTATACCGATAGCATAAATTAGATGTGATAGATTAAATCTGAGATCAGATTTGGAATCAGCACCCTGAAATTAGTCTAAAACAGCTGCAAAAGTCCAGGCCAGAATTTTGTTTTTTGTTGACCAGTGTTATCAGCGATTAAGGTAACAAAGAAACATTTGGTCAGTGACAGTGCCTTAACTAGGACGGTATATTATCGGTGAAGCTAGTAATGGTGTTGATGATGACGATATAAATGGTTGAATTTTTGCTGATGCATATATTGCAAATGATAATGTTCGTGATGATGTCACACAGCTGTTGTTCCTGACCGCTTCCATAGATGATGATGATAAGGAAGTCGCTCATGGCAATGCCATGCAGAAGGGCCGTTGCTCAAAACGTCATCAATTATATAGATCTTTATTTTCTGGCGGCCGCGTAATCTTGTTGTTGTTATTGATGCTTGTGCACCACTCCCAACACAGCTGCACCAACTAAGTGGTCCAAGTGATTTTTGAGAAGGTGCCAGTCCACAACACATTTAGAGTGGCTCTCTAGAGCTCCCTCCAGTGGAGGTGTGGAGGTCCTTCAGCCAGCAGTGGCGTGAGCAAGCAATTGCAGGGCTGCACCTTTACCTGCGTAACGGAATTCTAAATTCTGATTATTTACTGCCCTTTGTAATTCCACTGCTGGATGAAGTGCTCCCCATGACTTGTTTGTCCACGCTTCAACGTGTACCAGTCAGTGTTGGTGTGTTCAGATATCACTCGGCACTGCTGTGGGCTGTGGAGGGAATTGAACTTCGATGCCCCATGTTCATGGCACACTGCGCTTCGATGAGTCAAGACTAACTCTTTTCAAATTATCTGTGCCTGATGGAAACGGACTGATGCTGAATATTTTTGTTTTCAAGATGTTGTATTTAACCTCGTATGTATGTTTTTTATTGCATGGGCTTAGAGGGGTATTGATATGCGACGCGTGGGATAAATATTGAACGAAGATGATGGTGTGGCCAGTATTAGTGAGCACACAGTCTGAGGCCTGTCCCAGACTCTAAAACACATCCTCAATTTGCACAACAATGCTCACTTTGTTTGCATTTTTTCGCTTTTTTTTGTCTTTTCAAACTGTTGCAGCTGTGCTTATCAGCGTGTCGTGAGATGAAAAAATATCCACTTGGAACCCTCACAGGAAGCAATTCATGCCACTTTGTTATAGAAATGCCCTCTGAAAAGTGATATCGGAGAATTGCCTCTGAAGCGTGCCTTCATGTGCCTCTTATCTATAATAAGGGCTCTGAATTTTCTCACATTTTGCTCCGCTATGGAGATGGATGTCTCGTAGCTTTGGAACTGATATCTTTTTAATTCCTCACTGTAGGAAATAACATTCTGATCTAATGAAAACCAAATTAAATATTAATGGATTTTTTTTTCTGCATTATTTCTTGTCTGGGCTGAGCCACCCAGTCTCGCCCCTCTATCTATGGCCCTTGATATTATAATCTCCGGGCATTAGCATAAGCCCTACCTTAACCGCCTCTCAGCACAAAGTATCTGATTAGCTGTTTCCTGTGAAACGCCATTTCTCAAGCCACAGCCTTCATGCCCCCTCACACCCCCTCCACCACATCGGTGCAGCATTCTGCGTTTAGCAATCTTCTTAATTAATTCACGCGTGAACATGTCACATGCGTGTACCGCACCTGATGGTCGGTAACCGCACAAACACGTGTGCCGCGGTTCATCACGGTGCTTGAGACTGAAAGCTAATCTCTCCATTCCTCTTCCGACACTGATGTGTTTCAGGAATGCTTTGTAACACTTATCATAAACCTGTGCTCTCGATTGATGTACACTCCCAAGTCTCACAATAAGCATTTTCTTAAAGCCGTCCTCCCACACTGATCTGTAGCTCGCAGTCTGCGTTAGAGTTATGCACGTCGCAAGGCTCAGCATAAGCCATTACTCAAACACAAGCCTGCGAGACATTTTAAAAAGTTATTTTTTGCAAAGTTGGACGCTCAAGCTTTCGGGTGCAATTAAAGCTTCAGCAGAGGCACAATCTCAGCACGGTTGGCTATGTACGGCATGACAGAAGTTCAACATACACAGCTCCTGAATGTGACCTCATCTTAAGACGCTGTACCGACATGATGGGCGTGTTTTTAATGTCGAGAGAGACGGTTGCAGGCGGTGGCGAAAAACAGAAAAGGTCTTGGGGTTGGACATGAATGGGGGGCAGGGAAATCGACAGCACACAGGTGAACGGAGGCAGAGAGTTCCAGACAATGGGGGCAGCAGATGAGAATGGGCAACTGCCTTCTGAGCACGTGGTCACCAATGTCATGCGTTTTCACGAGCGTGAGAAATCCGTGCTCGTTTTTTCATACGAACACTTAAAGAGCAATGCGGCTCCGTAGTCTCAACCCCTCCCGCCCGCCCCCCTGTCCCCCCAAATCCTCCTTTTCCTCCAAAATTGCTTATTTGAAACAAATGTGAATATATGCTTGGGTTAGGTTAAGGAATGACGAGGATTTATAGATATGTTTTTGAAATATTCCACTGTATAGGAAAACAAAAACCCCAACACGGCCCTGAAGAGTTTACCGAAGTGCGGCCCACTGCCGATTGCGCATCTGCGTTGGGCCCGTGCTGTCACACCGTTTTTCGAGAGTGTGCCGGGGTGCTGGGTTTTTACGCCTTCCATGGAAATGTAAGCCACGCAGACTTGCCTGGTTCGTTGGACCCAGGCCGGCTTGCTTGGTTGCTTTCTCAGTGGTCATGGAAAAGTCGGAAAACTGGTGGCCAGTCACTCGTGGCCACTCGCTGAACTTAAAACGTCTTCTTGAACTTCTTTTGCACCGTGCGTGGCCAACCATGCTAATCGCGGTGGAGAAGGAGCTGAGCCACTGTGACGCGGTCCATTAATCAGCTGTTCCGCTCGCCCACTGAATGCAGAGTCCATCGTTCCCAGCAGCGGCACGTTCCACGTCAAATTGCCCAAGAGGAGAGGCGTGGAGCTGGGAATCACCATCAGCTGTAAGTCCGCATTGCCACCCAAAGGCATCACGTCATTTGGCCAAAGGAGCTGCAATGAAAGCTCCACAAAATCAATTCCACAAGCGGTAGTCTTATTGCGATTTGTGTTTTAGTCGATTGATTGAAGTTGCCAAACTGCCGCATTGTAAACGATACGGCCACGAAAGCATATATATATATATGACGAGCAGAGTCGACGTTTATGCCTCCAGCGCGGAGAAAATTTTATCCATTAGCATTCGTTAACTTTAACGAGAGTACCCATTAAGTGAACTCTGGCTAGGGTCACTCGTGATTGATTGAACATTAAACCAACTCTATTCATTTAATTGGGACCCTTGTGCTGATACAGTTTAATTTCCACGCCTGAGCTGAATATTGAAGCTGGCCAAAGATTTGTGTTCAATGTCTGATCGCATCTCCTACATTTATTTAAATATAAGATGTGGATTACCTAGGATTTTACCAGTATTCTTGTTGCATTCATATACTAATGGTAATAATAATTACAGCCCTTTAATAGTTCACTGCTGAATGAAGGCCTCTGTCATGGGGGTTGTTTGACCATACTTCACCTTGCTACTAGTGGTCAATGCCTGTTGGTGAAGAGCTCTGCTGGTTGTAGAACCGGTGCACATGCCACTCACCAGTGATTGTTAACCGTGGCAGGGAATCGGACTCAGGTCGCTGGGTTCATAGCTCGGTGAATCAAACCTGTCAACCCCTTATCAGCGCCCTACCTCACTACAGACCAGTTCAGACCTTATTGGTCACCCCGTCGTGCCCTTATAAATCTCAGCGTTCATCCTACAAAGTCCCATCGCAAGGGAGAAATGCAAACAAATAGACACATTTTTTGTGCCCGTATTGAAACGGCTGTACATCGTATGGACCTGAAAACTCAATTACCCTGTACAAGAATACGGGGTAAACCGTATGGGTTGATAGGTATGGTGAACTCACCACGTTTGCCTCCATTGCGCCCAGATTTAATACATCATCAACAAATACGCGTTGGTATATTTGATGAGGATCAGGGGAGCAAAATCATGTTTTGAAGTAAGAACACCCCAATGTAGTTATACAATACATTTATATTTTCATTGACTTCATTTAAGTAATTGCCGTTTAATGAACAATGCTCATAAACGCAATAATGTGCTTACCAGCATATGTGATTATTTACACTTTTCAGGACGGTTGTGGATGATGTTTGGCCATTTCCAATATAATGAGTGGCTTGCATGTGACGGCAAACCTATAACGCCCAGAGATGCCCCGTGGTATGGGGAGGTCCTTCATCCAGCAGTGGATTGACAAAATGCAGTAACTAACGATATTAATTTACTTGTAGATCATTTCAAATATGAGACCAGAGCTATGCCATTGGTGCGCAAAGATGATGGGCCTTCAAAACAAGCTGAACAAATGGTCGGTACAGGGGCCACTTTCGCCGATAAGACATCGTCAGTGTGAGGTCCGCCACACGTTTGAAACCATTGTGTTTGACAGCAGCACGGTGATGATGGTGGTGGGGGATGTTTTAACTCCTTGTGTATTGTCAGGGGGCCGCACATCAGTGAAGAGCACCGATTTATTAAACGCCCTCTCTCATTCTCAAACATTTCGGCTGCTCCTCTAGTGCTTTGTCAACGCCCAGCCGCTCTCCGCGCTAGGGCAGAGGAGAGAGGTGGGGGTGGCTTGAGTCCCTCGTACCCGTCTCACTCGTGGTGCTTGTGTTGGTTTCTCAGCGCCGGCTTACCGCAAGGCGGGCGATCCACTCGTCATATCCGACGTCAAGAAAGGCAGCGTTGCGCATCGGTGAGCCCGCGGCTTAAGCAGCCGCGTGAATCGCTGCCCAGCCTAAGTGGGTCGGTAACGGTGATGTTAAGTTTGGATGTTTATAAGGGTTGGGTTTTTTTTGGCATGCTGGACCCAAAATGCCAAAACTCCAAGCAGCTAGCAACAGACAACACTGTTGAAACAGCGATAGATAAGAGTCGATACGTTTCTTGAATTGAGTAAGGTTCATTCAAACTTGGGAATAGTGACGATGGGAGGGAATCCCAAAGCCGAGCAGTGCGAGGGAAGAAACAGGAGGAGAAGTGGGTCATATGCTTGGCCAGCATGGTCTAAGCATATGTAAGCGAAGGGACATGGTTTCGTGTTAGACTCAACTCTTGTCTATGCGGTGGGACACGGTTGATTGATAGACCAGGCTGTATCTGTGCTAAGGGACATGGTTGATTGATAGACCAGGCTGTGTCTATGCTGAGGGACACGGTTGATTGATAGACCAGGCTGTATCTATGCTGAGGAACATGGTTGATTGATAGATCAGGCTTTCTCTATTCTGAGGGACACGGTTGATTGATAGATCAGGCTTTTTCTATATTCTGAGGGACATGGCTGATTGATAGACCAGGCTTTGTCTATGCTGAGGGACACGGTTGATTGATAGACCAGGCTGTATCTATGCTAAGGGACATGGTTGATTGATAGACCAGGCTTTGTCTATGCTGAGGGACACGGTTGTCGGACCAGGCTGTCTAAATAGTTGACCTCGGTGTCGCTTCCCCGTGAGGACGGGGACTCTGGAGCCGGGCGATCAGCTGCTGGCGATCGACGGCGTCCGTCTCGACCACTGCTCCATGGAAGACGCGGCTCACATCCTGCGGCAGGGCGACGAGCTCGTGAGACTCAAGATCCGCAAGGACGACGACAACTCAGGTCTCGGCTCGTCTCCGGGCGTGTACTGAGGATTTGTTTTACTTTGTATCGCCCTCGTGATTGCTGTGACAGAAAACTGAACGAAGCTTGACCCATGATGTATGGGGTGAATAATAATGAAATTATTAAATGTTACGTATGTATGTTGAACTTACTTCGCAATGTATGTAGCCAACCGTGCGTATCGGAGGTGTGATTAATACGCTTTTTGCCGTCATCTGGTCCAACACCAATGGAGACTAGGCTCTAAGAAAAAGCTGTCTCGGGTGTGGACCAATCAACTTCAAGGACAGTGCATAATCATCATTATCAGAGTTGTTTCTTTTTGTTTGCATTTTGACTGCTTGTGTTGTGGTTATTGCAAACATGATGCCTCGTATAAAGGTGTCAGTTTTTGTACCAGTTTAAAGGGTAAAAGCCTATTACGTGATTAATATCGATTAATATACAAAGCATTTCAGATTATATATGTATATGTATGCCTGCATTTTTAAAAAAATGACATTTCTAAAACATTTGGCATATTAAAAAAGTTTTCTTGCCAAGTCCTCACGACAAGGGCCTACAAAAACCTGCGTGGGCCCGAAGGAACAGATCTTCGAATGAACTTCCTTAGGGCGACCGCATCTCACCCCGTCGCTCCTCTCCTCCTCTCGACCCGCCGGCCGTGCAGACGAGCTGGAGGGCACGGGCGCCATCAGCTACACGGTGGAGCTGAAGCGCTACGGAGGGCCGCTCGGCATCACCATCTCCGGCACCGAGGAGCCCTTCGACCCCATCATCATCTCGGGCCTCACCTCCGGCGGCCTTGCCGAACGGTAGTTGCTGCCGCTTGGGGCCCCCCGCGGAGGTCGCGAGGGGTCGTGGTGCAGTGGCCGCAGCTGTTGGGGGGGGTGGGTTGTCCCTTGGTGCCAGGATCTGAGACGGTGGGCGCTGGGAGGGGCGGGGGGGGGGGGGGTGGTACTCAGAAGGAGGCCTCATCTGGCATTTTCCACAGGTCCATCCACCAGCCCTGGCGATGGTTCAAGCGCTGCTTATCGCCGCTAGGGATGGGAAGATGAGGGCAGTGGTGCAAGGGAAATTGTGTTTGGTAAGGTGTTGGGGGTTCAGCCGATATATATCTTGTGACTTTCTGAGCCGTCCCCTACTGGACATCTCTAAAAAAGAGCTTCATAGCTCATCGGATTCCTCCAGTTTAAATAAAGATTCTGATTTCAAGCATTTTGATGGTTTCTGCAGTGTCTCCCGGGAGAGATAGATGTTTGTTACAAATTCTTACAAAATGCTCTTCTGACAAGTCTTAAGTGACTGGAACTAAAAAAGTTATTTCTCGAAATGCACGGCATGTGAAATCTCACCGCAGCTGCGTTTCAACCTGCCACTCCATGTAACTTTGCTGTGTGTGCCTGCCTGCGTGTGCGTGTGTGCATGTGTGGGAAGCAGTAGTGTGTGAATCGCTCTTGGGCCTCCCATAGGAGTACCTGATGCGATGTACAAACATCGTCACTGGGGAGACAAAGGCACCCAGGCATAGTAATGGCCACCCCACCACCTCGTGTGCTTTGGTGACCTTCACAGGTGTTTGCTAACAGCACTTGCTCAAAGAGTGAAAAAGAGTTTGTCTTTCTGCCTGTGTCCGCACGCGATGGCCGTCCGTGTGTGTTCACGCGTGAGAGGAGTAAAAAAAAAAAAATCTATAAAAATGCTGCAAATATCAATCGCGTGCCTTTTGAAACCCGCGCTGCATCGCAGGACCGGAGCCATCCACATCGGAGACCAGATCCTGGCGATCAACGCCGTCGGCCTCAAGGGGAAGCCGCTGAGCGAGGCCATCCGCCTCCTGCAGACGGCGGGCGAGACCGTCACGCTGCGCATACGCAAGCTCGCCGAGCGTGAGTGCCCCCCCCACCACGCCAGTCCCAACTTTATCCCGATCATGCAATCGGCGGGTGTCGTGTCACGAGGCGAAGTGCGGAATTCGTTCGGAGTGTCACCCTTCGTGTGAGAGAATCGTCTGCACACGGGGATAATTGTTCTTCACTTGGCAGTCAATCTCTCACTCGGAGCTGGAATTTAGCCAAATTGAGTCCTGATGAAAAAGTTATTATCACGTTTTTTTTTATCATTTAGTGACCGGGCCGAGACCATCAACTCACTTCGCTTGTGAGAGAACCCGCTTGTAATCGGAGGCTAGCATCTAGATTCGAGCGCAGGGTGTCTCAGCGGTGCGGGGCTCAGCGCAGTGACCTCTGAGCCACGTTGGCCAGCTCTCGTCCCAACCTCCATCGTAAAGCACGGCTCTGGCATCGCACGGGAGAGACCACCTCGAGCAGGCCGCCAACTCTCCCGCCGATGCGCAGGCCCCTACCGCGCGCTGACGGGCGGCGCGGGCGCCCTGGCCGAGGGCAGCGACGGGGAGGAGGAGGAAGAGGAGGACGAGGAGGAGGAGCTGGACAGCGTACGACGCGCTGCCAAGATGGCCGAGCTGCTGAGCGCTGTGCCGAGCCTGGACAGCGCCACTGGCTCGTGGGACGGCTCGGGCACGGACAGTGGATACGGCACGCAAGGTTGACATTTTTTGTTTTACTTTTTCTTTTTTACCACGTGAGGCCCACCGAACTATATAGCTCCACAAATGATAGGTGAACGAAGCGGCTTATCAAAATGCTGTAACGCACGTTGAGTCTAAATATGGACGGAAAAACTGGAGGACCTGGAGAAAATTCCACGTGACCACGGGGAGAACGTGAAAACTCCAAATATACAAGCATCATGGTCGGGATCAAACCCACGACCTCCTGTGCACCAGGCGAGGTAGTTAACATCTCGACACCGTGATGATGATGATGATGAGAGAGACATGCAAACTCCAAATATACAGCAGCAGGCATCAGGGTTGTCATGGGTTTCCCTCCGCCACGCGGCACGGGAGAGTTCTTCTGGAAAACCGCACTCTCCACGCCGATCGTATCCATACGTGGTGATGCACCTCCGATTTAGCACAGTTGGCTACGCACCGTGCAAAAGAAGTTCAACAGAGACAAACATCGCCCCCCTCATAGCCTCAACAGACTGTTGGGACAAGTGCTGTGAGCGAGTAGCACCCTAAAGTTCAACATGCATACATACATACGGACACGTTGATCCTCTCCCCACGGTATGATTGTGATGCCGCCCGCGGTCGTTCCCCCCCGGGGGTCACCCCCCTCACCCCCCTTTCCCCCCTGAGACAGGGAACGGAGTTGGCTCCGCTCGGGGGCTGCCGCAGCATTCGGCGACGTGGAGAGACGCGAGGGACACACGGGACGCGAGGGACGGGAAGGAAAACCGGGGACTTCAGTCCCCTGGCGGCAGCGGTGGCAGCGCGCGACCCCGGGGCTGTGAGAGGGCGCTCGGCGATGATGAGTGGGAGCGGCACACGTCCGGGTGGGTACACAGTGCGGTGGATCAACAACGGTCTGCCCTCACAACCTCAACGTCATCGCCATCATCATTGCTACCATCGTTGGTAAACAGTGTGGTAATTTAAACCGGTTCAGAGTTCCGAATTGTTCGTAAATATTGGTCCAGACAGCCCAAAGTCTCATCAACTATTGCCTCTTCATCTTCTTGGTTCTTTCGGTAAAGTTACGTAGAAGGGAAGTAATAAAATAATAAAAATAAAACATAATAAAATCATTCTTCACCTGAGGACTGCTCTTTGCGTTGTGGCCGAAACGTCGTGAGAATTATTTTATTATGTTTTATTTTTATTATTTTATTACTTCCCTTATACGTGACTTTACCGAAAGAACCAAGAAGATGAATCCCTACAGTCACGAAAGCTTTAAATCGAAATATTGCCTCTTCGTTCATAAGAGTTTCCTCACTCTATTTACACAGACACATAAACAACGCAGTCTCTGCCAGTCGTGACACGGGCCCTGGTGTAAGGAATGAAATCGGTTGGTCCTGCGTCCACCTCCTCCATTCTTCGTAGCCCAGCTTCTGGCCCTCGCTAGTCCCACGTGGCAGACTAAGCGCGCAACATTCCCGCTGCCATGACGCGAATCAATGTAGAGCGGCCGTGCCCTGCAGATTGACCGGCAGCTGCGAGCGCTTGGACGGCGAGCGGGAGGACGCGTACTGGTCGCAAGCCCTGGAGGACCTGCAGACGTGCGGCCAGGCGGGGCTGCTGCGTGAGCTCGAGGTACCGATCGACGAGCATCTGACCCCCGACCCACGTGTCACCGTGCACTCACCGGTCCGGTGCTCGCATCTTGACTCGTCAGTTGCCTCCAGCACGTAGCCGGCACTTGCAGAGAAGAGGTCGAGAGGTCATCGTGGCCACTGCCGTTGTTTCCCCCACACCTCACCATTGCTTCCCTCTGTCTGCTGGAGCCCATTACTGTTGCAAAGCTGATATCAACGGACCTCCATGTATGTATGTATGTTGAACTTCTTTCGCACCGTACGTAGCCAACCATCACATCATCACCAGCAGTGCTTAATTTTAAATGGAACAAGTCCATAACGCTATTGCAAGAATTAATTTTGGTATGACACTAATTTAGCATTATCATAGACAGGCACATCTTGAACTCTGGTGGTGTAGTGCCTTATGTCGATCATCTCTACTCAAAGTCAGCCAAGCAGCGGTCTGGAAAATAAAGTGAGACATTTCGCCCTGACCACCACCATTGCCATTTTTAGATTTAGGCCTGCTAGTGTTTACGTCTTTATGCATTTCCTTCTTAAACGACAATGGTTGTCTTTGCGAGTCAAAGTCGCCCCGATGCAGTCCTAATCCCCGACTTCCACTGTGCTAATTCAGAATGATTTGCGATGGGTTTTTCTTCTTCTTTCCGTTGACCCGTTTTTTTTTACGCTGTGGTTCCAACGCCCAGGGTGAGGAAAACCGCGTAATTGTGGGACGGTCACGAGGTGTGTGTGTGCCTTGTCTTTTTTTTTGCAGGACAAAGTGGGAAGCCTTTTGAACCGGCAGGCTCTGGCTTTCATGGTATCCATCCTCGGCGAATATTTGCTTAGAATTGGCCCGCTTTGTTTCTCTTCAAGCAACGCCGGCTTTTCACTCGTCACCGCTTTCCTCTTTGGCCGCATGAATGTCACACTTTCTGACGAATTTTCTCACCTTGTCCATTCGGCTCGCTTGTTTTTTTTTCCTTTTCGAATGCTTACGTAAAGATGCACTTCAATTTGCCCCATCTGGCGGGTTGGGTTTTCAGCTGCAGAATGTGGTCGTTTTCGTCAAGATAGGCCTCGTTTTTGACTGGAAGGACCCAGCGGCATGTAGGATTAGTGATTAGCTTTGCCTTATATAAATAAAAAAAGGCCTTTACCGACCTTTTTCACCATGCTAATTATATGCAGATTTATAAATTTATTAACTTTTCTCATTACTCTTTTTTTGAGTGAGAATGTGGAACAGTTTCATACCAAAAAAATATATCAATCTGGATAACATAATGAGGACGCTTGGGACTTAATTAATGGTATTTTACAGGATGTTATCCCGTGATTTAAATATGAATTCTTGAAATGTTCTGATCAGGTGGCTTGGAGGAGTGATATTGTGTCAGACCACTGGGGGCCTTGTGGTTTAAATCCAGGCAGCCAATTGTGATTAAGCCACGTCCTTGCGTGCAGCGAGCTGTTGTCCATAATCTGGTCTCCCAACGTTGGGCCAGCGTTGCACGTTTATTGGGCAGCAGTGACGATTATACCAAAAACAAAAATGGGGCAACGTTTTACGAACAAGATTTGTGACACCTTTTTGAGGCAATTCTCTGACACTGTGAGCGTCGCGAATTGATTCGCCCGATGACCTGACACCAATATCAACATATATTTTGGAGAAAAAACTACCAATTAAAATATTCTCCCATGTTGCAAAAATTATCACCAGAATCTAATTTAAATTAATCTCATTGAGATTCGTCTGATGAGACGCAGTCCATTCATTAACACAATGTTCTTCTTCTTCTTCTTCTCATGGATTCATGGCAGCAGATTAAATATGTAATTTCAGATTTGTTATCCACTCAATTAACACATCGCTCCCACGAGTGTGCCATCTGATAATTTGTGCAAGTGTAGAATGTTGTGTTGCGTTGCGCTCAAGTATAAACATTTGTTGAATAATATACAGCCCTTTGTCAATCCACTGCTGGATTAAGTGTTCCCTACATCGTGTCCAATGGGAGTTGTTTGACCATACTTCGCCATGCATGTTAGTGAAGGGGGGCGGTAACCATAACATTCATATTTCACTCACCACTGACGTTCGCTTTGGCTGGCATTTGAACTCGGTTTGCTTGGTTTAATGCACAGTGCGCTAAGCACTGCACCACCACTCTATCTCCACGACCAGTGTGGTGAAGTATGGTCAAATAACACCCCCCCCCCCATGATCGACACGGCATTTGGTTGACAAAGGGCTGTCGCAAAATTGTTTAACACATGGCCACGATTATACACTTTAATCACAGTTGTTCGATTGTTCAAAAATGTTTGCTTGAGCAAGTTATTCAACATGATATAGACGTGACTATTTAGCATCAAGTTGGACATTGTTTCAATGTAACCTGATTCCTTTGCAGAGGATCTGTGGCTGTGGATTAATCCATGCAGGCATCACCTTGCAACACTAATAGCAGCACCCACGTTAATGTCAGCATTGTCACTGCACCTATTCTAACATCGGTTGCATAATTTGCACAATGTCTTGTCATAGGTGACGGGTGAAAACATTTTTTAGGTGGAGGAGCTGAAATATTTGTGAAAGATTTTAATGAATAATTATATTTATTTTAGACACTCAGTGTCCAAAAATGAGAGGCTGCAAGGTTTCCGATTGGCAGAGCACGATCTCCTTGGTTCTTTCGGTAAAGTCACGTAGAAGGGAAATAATAAACTAATTAAAAATAAAACATAATAAAATAAAATTCTCACGACGTTTCGGCCACAACGCAAGCAGCCGTCCTCAGGTGAAGAACAGAGCTGTCTTTTCGACAGCCCTGAAGAAGAACAGGGTTGTCTTTCCGACAGCCTGTTCTTCACCTGAGGACGGCTGCTTGCGTTGTGGCCGAAACGTCGTGAGAATTTTATTTTATTATGTTTTATTTTTATTATTTTATTATTTCTCTTCTACGTGACTTTACCGAAAGAACCAAGAAGATGAATCTCTGCAGTCACGAAAGATTTAAATCGAGACTGGCACGAGTTCAACCAATGGCGTCATGCCACCACGTGCTCTGCAAGTTTGAGAATTTTTCCCTCTTCTCGCCAAGCCCGGCTTTAAGAGGTTTATGTTTTTTACCGCGCAGGCTTGTGTGTTCTTAATGTAACAGCTGCTAAATAGGTTTGAGGGGGCCCTAAGCCCTGTTTGGCCACAGCCAACACCCGCTGCCTATGCGTCCTGTTAACGCCACATCCTCATGTGTGATCAATTAACCAGACACTGATGTACTTGACAGATTGTGTGAAAACGACTGTTTTGGTAATGTGATGTGTATTTGTGAGAATCACCGAGTCAAAGTGTATCACGTGGGGAGATTCTTTTGGTTGTAACCTAACCATGGGATTTACACTAATTTTTGCTTTTTTTTTCCTAATTGGAAAATGTGACGCCATATTACGCATTATTCATAATAATTACACAAAACCATGTGTTACTTATTGCATTTAATATGTATAAAGCTACCAAACAACCTGGTTTGGCCAGGACAGTCCTGGTTTCAGAAAGGCTTTCCTGGTGTCCTGTAAGAATTTGCATAAATTGGGTTTCTTGTTCCAGCTTAAATTATTTCTGACATTATCAGCTTAACTGATAAGAGGCAAAGAGCCAGGCTGCATGTGTAGTGATCGTGGCTAGCGGGGAAGTGGGTGGGGGGGGCATGTGAGCAGCGGAGAGGGCCAACTTCAGACAGAGCAGAGGTCGCTCACTGTGCGAGCAGGGTAGTGACTGAGTTGTGGCTATGACAGGGTCTTACAGCTCACCATGTGACATTCGTTGAGCCTCCCAGAAACGTCTTCTTTTTTTTTCCACACCAGTCGTGCATTACGTGAGTTACACACGCGTGTCGTACGCGTGTTACATGCGTTGTTCGTTACGCTTGCGTGTGCGTGCGTATGTGTATGTGTTGTCGTGACAGGCCAGCATCATGTCGGGCATGTCTCCACTCTACGCGAAACCAGACGACGATGACGAACCCTCGCCCGACGAGCCAGAGGCTCCGCGGCCGCGAGCGCGCACGGCCTGGCGCGACGGCAACGGCCACGGCGCTCGGCCACGAAAGGACGCGCACGCGGGAGGCCTCACCTCCTGGGAGCTCAAGGAGTTCCAGCGCCAACTGAAGGACATCATGGCGCCAACACCCGTGGAAATACACAAGGTGGTTGCCCCCACCCCCCCTGGTCCTTTCTCTAGACCGGCATGGCTGAGTGGCAGCGCCTTTGCAGTTTGGCTCGTGGAGATTTTGGATATTTGTGTTGCGGCCGCCCTGGTTGATATTAATGTCACTGGCCTTTTGCCCTTACAAGGACGGGTGTATTGCAGTAAATCTGAAACTTGGAAGAGAAAAGCAGACCGCGACGTGATATTCATTGCATCAAGTCGTCTGCAATTTGTAAGGGCACGGTGACACAGACCTATTTCATTTTAAGGTTATAATCCCTTGTTCATCATGACGTCCTTTTTACTTTGATGTCTCAACAGCGTCACGGAGATCACGTGACGTGAGGGTTCTGCCTTTGTAGTGAGGGTTGTGAGTTGACGCCGAGGAAGGGGGAGGAGGCGCCTCGCCCCCCATGTGGAGTGACGTCAGCCGCTAATTATTATGAATGGTGGGGAGGTGTCCATTTGGAGGATGTCACCTTATCATGATTATTAATGAGGGGGGCTGTTCGATGTGGAGTTACGTCACGAGTGTTGCACACAGACATTATTGGCTCATTATAGTAGGTAATAATAATGGGGGGGGGGGGGTGTCTATATGGAGGACGTCACCTGCTCGTGAATGTTAATGAGGGGGGCTTGTCGATGTGGAGTGACGTCACGAACGTTAAGGACATTCCTGGGTGATTATAGTCGGTATGCCAGGGAGAAACACGCGGCGCGATGAACCCCGTGACCCCGAGTTCGATTCCTGGCCCCAGCTAACACCGAGGACGAATTAAATCTGATCTGGTTGTAGGGACCCCCTCTCACAACCCGCACTAGCCAGTGTGGCGACGTTTGGTCATGGGAAGGCCATCATACACTAGTGGATTGACAAAGGTGCTGTTTGTTTAATTTCAAATGTGGTATACCTCTCCAGTGACCCAATTTAACCCATCATCGTTATCGCTAAAGGGGTGCAGTTGTTGCGTTGGCTGCTATCACAGATGGTGCTCTTGCTGTCGTGGGGCGCCATGGTGGCGAGATGTTAACTACCTCTCCTGGTATACAGCAGGTCGTGGGTTCGATCCCAACCCTGACGCCCGCATATTTACATGTTCTCCCTGTGGTCACGTGGATTTTTCTCCGGGTCCTGCGTTTTTCCCTCCAAATTTATAATCAGCAAACGTGCGTTTAGAGTATTTGGCTGCAATAAATGTCCACGCGATGAGCCACTTTGTTGAGCTATCATTTGCGATAGCCAGGTCGCTGGTGGGCTTTACTTGGTCAAATACAAAAATAGTTGAAATCGTCGAAATAGCAGGGGATGCTATGGCAGATGGTGCTCTTGCTATAGCGGTTGCCGTCATCGCATGGGCTGCTGTGTGACAGGTGGTGCTGCACAAGGAGGAGGGTGAAGACTTTGGCTTCTCCGTGTCGGACGGGCTGGTGGAGCGGGGCGTATTCATCAACGCCGTGCGGCCCGGCGGCCCTGCTGATTGCAGTGGCCTCCTGAGGACCTACGATCGCGTACTGCAGGTGCGGCAGACGGATACAATGGAAAGATGATGGGCGGACGGACGGACGGACGGGCAGAAGAACAGATGAGCAGAGGAACTGATAGATGGATGGTTGGACAGGTGGACAGAAAGACAGACACGTGACAGTGAGACGGAGGGAGAGATGGTTATAAAAACAGACTGATGGATGGATGGACAGACAAACAGATGGACAAATGATTGGATAGACAGACGTGTAAAAGTTGTTAGGATGGACAGAGAGAGACATGGAAGGATGGGTGAATGGACATATGTACGGATGAGCCCACACTCCCATCATAATAATTCACCCGGCATGCACCCGATTTTGTCAGATCTCATATACTAGGCAGAGTTAAACCTGGATGGTGTTTGGGTGCGCGACTGCTGTGCATAATAAAACAGGTCGTCATACGGGCTTGGGGGGGGGCACGTGGTGGGCATCAGGGGGAAACGCAGCAATATCCTTTGCTGTATAGTACATCTCTGCTGCCATGTCTATGCTCCCCGCCTTTATCAACCCACACTGACCAGCACGGTGAAGTGTGGTCGAATAACCCTCACGACCAACTACGAGGAGAGGCCCTCATCCAGCAGTGAATTGGAAAACAAAGGGCTGTACGTAAACCATACATCATAAATCTGAATAGACAGGATATATATATTATTATGAATATTGAGCTCAGCAATTTCTTTGCACGGCTCAACCCCCCCCCCCCCCCCCCGGGCGCTTTCAATTCCCCGCCCGTCCCGGACCCCCCTTTGGCAGGTGAACGACATTCACACGCGGGACTTTGACTGCTGCCTGCTGGTGCCGCTCATCGCCGAGTGTGGCGACACGCTCGAGGTGGTCGTCAGCCGAAACCCACTGCTGTCTCGCCCTCCCCAGCAGCCGGCCCTCCCGGCCCTCCCGGCCCTGCCGGCGCCGCCCAGCCCGCCGAGCCGCGTGCGCCCCGAGCAGCGGTCGCTGGAGTGGAGCGCGAAGGAAGGCGCCACGGGCGGTGGCGACCGCCGCCGCCGCTGGGAGGAGAAGGCGGGGCCCATGAACTTGTGAGCCGTCGGGGGAGGAGGGCCGAGCGGCGAGCGGCGAGCGACGTAGCCAGGGGGGCGTGCAGGTGGTGCGACCCGCGGCACGGGGAGGGGGGCGGGCTAGGGTTGCCATCTCTGAGGTACAAGAAAAAACCGGGATGTATCCTTGAAAGAAGAAAATATCTCATAATTCTGGAATAAAATGCATTGGGCTGACCGCTGTATGATTACGATCTGCAAAAAAATTTAACTTTTGAATCTGGCCTAAAAAAGCCAGATTTGCCCTAGACAGCTGCCTCAAAAGGAGGAGGATCCTGGGAAAACCAGGACAGGTGATAACCCGGACCGAGGTCCACAGGACGCGGAGGGGACCTGGGCGCTGGGCTGCGACTAGGAGCGAAATTGGACGTGAGCCCCCATTTAATTCATTCTTCCGGGGCCCATGCCAACCACTGATGAAGGCCCCTTGCTAACTGGCCCACCAAGTACCGTTTGTTTATGACTCGATGAGAAACTTGCGAGGAGACACCAGTGGTTCTGCGCCACCCCATCAGAGCCATAATTTAATGTCTTGCCCATCCCGATTTGGAGAGACACAGCTGAGCTTTGCTGACCCCTTGACTGATGAGATTTCACGAGGCCAATTGTCGTTGCTGTTGGGATGGATGCAAAAAAAAAGCCAGTGATGATGTGTTGGCCTTTGTGCACATTTTGTTCTCTGACAAAACGGAGCCTGCAGAGAATGGGTACAAATTATATTAACATGGAATTCCTTAATTTTAGTGATGGCAATATGCAATAATGACCATATACAGACACCATGTAAACGGGTAGCCGTGCTAATTATTTTTAAGGGTGTCTGGTTGCACTGTTGTCCATGGTGCAGGTTAGACATTGATGAGGCCTCTCACACCTCTGTAAGCATAACAGCAGTTGGCTTTGGCAAGGTCAATGCCTGGTGTTTACTATGGAACAGCACATTACAGAACCTCAATACCCGCAACTCTTTCATCCTCTCTCCAGGAGTAAAAATAAATTCGGCAAGGTTAACTTTTAGCGATGTACATCATGCCCTGATTTATCATTGAATTTAGCAAGCTTCAGACAGATTTATTTCATTGATTTGAGATCAATAACTCAAGACTCATTAAGACTTTACTGTATAAAAATATTTCGAGTACGGTATTACTATTTAATGATTTGTTTAGATGATATTACAACTCAAGCACAAGCAGGACATCAGTGTTAAACCTTAATAGTTAGTGTATACCCATTAATGTGTTGCTGTTAATGTGCATAACATATATTTTGGAGGGGGAATGTGTATTTGTTAAACTTAAAAAAAAATTACACTGCTTAGGCACTCATTTTTTTTCTTTCCACCGTGGTCAGTTAACACAGACACGCATGTTGTCAGTAAATGCTGTCGACCCACGCATTTCTGGGTGCGAGAGCCACACAAACACAAGCCGCCAACGTCGTGGTGGCTTGTTGTTTTATTTAATGTGCTCGATTTACACTCGGCACAATAATAACTTAGCGAGGGAGGTGGGAGGGGGGATATGAACCCACTACCCAGATGCCGCTGGGTTAATTTTCTACTTTCCTATTACTATAGGCCACTTTCCTTCATTAAAAGGATTGGATATTCTACATAAAAACAAAAAAACATGTGTATGTTTGTTTACATTGTTAAGTACTCTATCATAATTAATTTTGATATAATCATAGCTTCCAAATATCATGCTCGTCATATTTTTTGTAAGCCGTTATACCCTCGAACAATTTTGATGATGTGTTTTTGCGTTACGTTTCTGAGCAGAGATGTCATATCTAAAAAAGATAGGAACGGTTTTGAAGTTGTTTTTCGTGCCACTAAATGTTATATGTGCCTTTTTTTATAAACACACTTTGATGTGTATCAAACCCACTGCTGTACAGTAACATTAGCAGTATAAAATTATAACTGTGCATAAGTATATTCGTAGCATTTTAATTGTAAGGTCATTTAGGAAGGGGTTTTGGGGAAGGGGGGGTGTGGGAGGGGCATACAAGCTGAATCTATTTAATATATTTCTTTACAAACAAAAATATGTATAAAGCATAGTTTACTTAGCCAGTGAAACCACATATATGTTTGGTGCTGATGTTCAATTACCGGAACACAACAAAGAGTCATTATTTTGTAAAAATGTGTTTCATTTTCCACGGATGTTCATGCTGTGGAAATAAAACGTCTTTTGGGTGCAGCGGGAGAGATGTGATCACCTTGGGGGGGAAGAACTTGGCTTGGGGAGACGTCCGGCCACGTGTCACTCAAAAAAAACGAAACTATTTTTTATGTTACCAGTGTAAGACCCACCGAGCTACATAGCTCTTTTTCAGAAGTGACCTGGCCACAAATAATACCTCAACGAAGTGGCTTATCACGTGGACATTTTTGGCAGCCAAATACTCTAAATGCGTGACGTTGATTTTTAAATATGGAGGGCAAAACTGGAGAAAATCCACGCGATCGCTGATTGAAAGACACGCAAACTCCAAATATCCAAGCGTCAGGGTAGGGATCGAACCCACGTCCACGGCAAGGTAGTTAACATCTCGTCACGTTTTCCTCGCCGTATAAGCCTCACATGCTCCTGCTTGTCCAACTTCTCAAAAACCTCATATCCAGTCACCACCGCACTCACATCCCAGGCATTCGTTTCTGCATTCTTTTATTCAATCGTGGAGTCAATATTTCCGCGAGATAATTAAACCCCACTATGCATTTTGAACAGATTCCTTTCATTAACGTCACTTTTATTTACCCATGAAAGTCCCACTAAATCTCAAGACTTTTTTTAGGAGAGTTCCAGCATCAAGATATTTGACCAATTGCATTAATCAGCTTGTGGGAGGAAACTGGAACTCCCAGATAAATGTGTTGGCATATAAGATGAAGCACTCAAAGCTCCACAAACAGGAATTTAATCTACTTTTTCTGAACGACCATATCCTGGGCCACCTCGCAGCAGGTGGGATTGTTGGGGGGGTTTCGACATCTTTGTGTGATCCACAAACCTTCGCTTCCAGAGTGAGTGCCGGATCAGGCGTGCAGCACTTTCACCCAGCTCTTAGTGGCTTGCAGTTTTGGGTTAGGAGTTAGGTTCAGTGCTTGGTTCGTGTGCTCTCTACCCTCAAACTGCTTGACACATCTTCCTTATTGGAGGGTATACCACCTGATCATTCATTTTAGACTGCTTATCATTTATCCAGAGGTTTTTTTTGGACGGTTTGATCGCGTCAATATAGATGTGTCGTTAAACCCACCACCACCCGACAACCAATTGGTAAGGTTTGTCACGTAAACGAAACATGCCAATTCATTACTGTGTTGGAGATTGAAGCCACAACAGTTTACTATTCGATTGGGTTCACTCTCCAACACCGGTGTGCTAAACCAGTAGCGGATTGACATTTTTGCTTACGTGATAAACCTTACCAATTGTGTCGGTGGTGGCTGGCTTAACGACGCATGTATATTTACGCGATCTAACCAAAAAACAACCTCCGTTATGGATATTAGTCGCGAAAGCCTACTTATGTGTTAAACTGGGCTCGATAGCTCTCTTTCAGAAGCTACCTGGCCACAACGATAGCTCAACGAAGTGGCTTAATCATGTGGAAATAATGTCTGTTGCTTCAAGTGCTTTTGACCCACACCAGGGCTCAGCGATACCACCCCAATCCCACCTCGTGTTGACGCTGCAGGCAACTTACTCGCGAGCGTGCCGTGTCTTCATGAAGACGTGAAGCCGGTGGTCACGTTTCAACGTACACACACAAACACAATGCAGAGTGGAGCTGTTTCAAGAACTGCCGGTGGTACGACACTAGCAGTTTAGTTTTTTTTCCCTCCGCAATGTACTTATCAACTGACTCGAGGTGATGGAAAGCCACCTTATGTAAGCAGGTGCAAGAAGAATATGAAGCTTCCGTGTCCTGGCGCAAAAAGACGTGTTGTCAATAAGAGCGAGAGTTGAAGTTTCCCGTGTTGGCACCACGATGAATATTGCATGCCAGAAACACGTGTTTATTGGTGCGTGGCCGTCGGTCCTGGTGAATTAATTTCAGCACAAACGCGCAGGCTCTGACGGCTCTTGTGAATCTCACTGACAATCCTGCTTTGTCAATATTTGGAAGGAAAAAAATGTGATGTTGACGATAGGCAGTGATGGGATGAACACGCGTGTAATATACCATGGATTTTGCCTGTAAATTGTATGCATTTTACGGTTATTTCAATGATTTCTTTCGTTATTATTTGCCTTAAAATATCTTGTCACCATGTAAAAGCTTCGACTTATAAATATTTATCCGGATGTTTGACCGAGACGTGAGCGTATTTTTATATAAAACTTTAACTTCTCCGACAACGTTGCATATGCTTCACTGATTGGAGGCAAGTTTGTCCACGAGTTTATGAATGTACGATGCCCAGGCGCAGAATTCCACACGCGAAGATTCGGCGTTTGAGGATTCCGGTGGTCACGGTCAGATATTTTTGTGATCAATGTTCTGAGCATGTAACCGAGACGCCACACTTTTGTTAAGTCTCGACCTTGTGTTTACATGCCGTGACTTCAGAAACGTCTTATAATAAACTTTCTGAAATTAGTACGCGGTTTGTTTTATTGCTATATTCCACGTGATACTGGTAGGAACCACCTGGTTCCACCAGCCCACAGGGGATTATTGTGTCCGTCAGTCCGTCGTGAATCCAAAAATGGGAGGGGTCGGGCTGGGTGGGGAGGGGCTGTGGGGAGGGTGGGGCTGGGTGGAGGGAAGGGTGGGGAGGGGCTGGGTGGGGCTGGCTGGAGGGAAGGGTGGGGAGGGGCTGGGTGGGGAGGGTGAGGCTGGCTTGTGCCCGCCCTCACAGTCGGCAATATTTGCGGAATACACCACGCCGCCGTTGACCCTGGCCATTGACCAAGCAACCCAACGTTCCTACCAGCTCCCTCCGCAGGAATGTGTTTTTACAGTCAGATTAATTTTGCAATGGATATGTCCGTAAGCTCCAACAGCTGATGGGATTAAGTCGACAAACTCTTGCAAGTGCTAAATATGCTTTTTAACTTATTACTCGTTAAAAATGTTGGTCAAATTAGAATATTAAAAACTTGTAAAAGATTAGAATGTCATCTCGCAGGCTTGCAAACCATATATGGCCGTGGAAGGAATTTGAATTGGACATTGCAATAACCTTACCGCATTATAGATTTCAATTGAAATGCAATTAAATATATTGACAAGTGTTCGTGGAAATGCAGAGCTTCCAAGTATTGACTTCATAACTACAGCATGCAGAAGTCGTCACGTAAAAAGAGTTTGCTATTGAGCAATAACAGTACTGTTAACATCAAGTCACAGATACACTTCCAACGCCACCTAGTGGAGAAACATAAATTGTATTAATAGTATTGGTTCTTTCGGTAAAGTCACGTCGAAGGCAAATAATAAAAATATAAAAAATAACCCGTAAAAACAAAGTTTTTCACTATAAATCCTTTATATGCGTGGCATCGGTTTTATTTTATTATTCATTTCTGTTTTTCTTGAGTAAGAGTTTCATTTTTATCACATTGGTATTTTAAATTAAATATTACATTTTTTTTCCCAAAAAAGTGGAAAATTTAGGAAAAAAATTTTCACGAAAATAAATTGTCACGCACGAGTTTGTGTGCAAAATGTCAGCTCGATTGGATCACGGGAAGTGGGTTAAAAAACGACCGAAAGATTTGCACAGTCGTAAGCGCGCAAGCAAGTGAACTTAATATAAAGGATTTAATTATCACGTTTCGGCCACAATGCAAGCAGCCGTCGTGAAAATTTAATCGTTTTATTTTTATTATTTGATTATTTCTCTTCTACGTGACTTTACCAAAAGAACCAAGAATATGAATCCCTGCAGTCACGAAAGCTTTAAATAGAAATTGTATTCGTTATGATGGTAGTTCAATATAGGATCGCCAAGCAGACAAACAGAACACCGTGTATGCTTTGAGTTAACTAAACTAACCTATACAGAAAAGGATGGACCAGATGTTATTTATCACCCAAAACGCTCGACAACACATTACGACGAGTTTATATTTTATTAAATTCGTTCACCAAAAACAGGTGTACAGGCATTTTACTGAGTTGCGAAGCTTTGTATACAAAAATATCTACATAAATAACTGTTTACAATGAACATCTTCAGAGAATGGGGATTGGCAAATTCCAATTAAAAAAATGCCTAATGTTGCTCGCCATATTTCATGGCCATAAAACTAGAAATGTTGACAAAAAAATGATTGGAAATATCTAATTCAAAAACACCAGCTGCGTGTATTTTATTACAAAAATAATTTACGTGTTTATCGATCCACTGCTGAAAGGCCTCCAAAACCATGTCGGTGATGAGGATTATTTGGTCAAACAGAACCACGACGGCCAGTACGGATTGGCAATGTGACCTGTGGAAGGGAATTAAACTCCGTTTCAGAGGTATACCAACCACTGCACTACTCCTCCCCCATTTCTCACGTTTTATGCAGTCGTTCATCCAAATTGCATCTTACAATCACTAATAAGACATACAAATTGAAGGCAGCCTGGCAGTGAGCCGGTGTCATTCCTAAGCTCTGCAGACCTATATATATGTATGTGTTTTCGGCCAATTACTTTCGTGCTTATACATGTGGGAGAAACCCAACAGGTGGAAGGGGACAGGCAACACCATCACGTATAGAGGGGACATAATACTAGTCCACACTTTGGTGTACCATTCTATGGCAACTCAAAACTCACAGCAAGGGATGCCGTGATTTTAAATCATGAATTTTGGATACATGTGCATCTGTCAGTCTTAAATAGGAATGCCGAAATAAAACAAATGGCATATAAATTATTAAAGGAACATGTAACATTGTATTCACTGTTGGTATTCAAGCATAACAGCTACATTTCGAATTTCTAGGTCAATCAGATGGTATCGTTGTAACCATACCATTGATATTTGCAATGCGAAAGCTTTTTGAATACATTACTTTAAGAAATCGACTAAGAAAATCTAGCACCAACCACACCAACTTCCAGGAACCGTCAACACCATAGTGGTAATGCACAAACTCAAACTGGGCTTGTGTTAATCATACTCACGTCTGAGGCTATGTTATTCCATCTCAGATATGATGTTTTAAAATAAAGATGCGAACCATTACATGTGCAGTGACAGTCGTGAAACGAGTTAACAGTCTACGGCCTAACATGATGCCACCTATAACATACATATCATAGACGTGGCCACTGACAAAACTCACAAGCAAATGCTGAAAAGGAATATATATATATTTTAAGCATATGGATAAATGTATGCTTGGAATAAATTCAGGTACATACCCAAATCAAAGCTATAACTTTAACTGTGAAGAGAAGTGTGGCTCAGATGGGACACTTATTTGCAGGGAACAAACGCTGGCAAACAAGAACGGCCGTGGATCGTTCAGCAAAGATGACAACGCACCAGATGGGAAATAATATGGAGTGATGAAAGTAGTTCACGCGCAGGAGAACGATTGTGGCGTCACAATTTTATGAGGAATGCCAATGTGGTGAGGGCTCCATCCAGCGGAGAAATTAAAATAACTCCATGACGATGAGAGCGATGGCAGCCCAGCATCCATTGTGGTCCCGGTGAGACACGCGGCGTCTGTCGAGCGAGCGAGTCAGTCAGTGCTCCGAGCCGTCCTCCTGTGCCGAACTGCGACGCAGCTCCGCAAGCTCCCGCTGCAGGTCGGGCACGCGGGCCAGCTCCTGCTGCAGGGACCGCGGGATGGGCAGCTGTTCAAAGTCCTCCTTTGGCACCAGCTGGCGCGTCACCTGTAGACAGCGCTCCACCAGAGTGTACACTGCACGCGCAAACAAAATACGTACAGCACACACACACGCACGCACGGGTTAAGGGGTTCTGAGTGGTGAGAGGTACAGCTTCTGCACAGTCTAACATCTGTAATTCACTCGTCTTGAGGATAGTTTATTTTAGCATTATGGTAGTGAAGTAGCGATTCTCCGTGTGCAGACTTTTGGTCAGTTCATTGTTGCATGAAGGCCTTCCCATTTGACCATACTATACCACATTTGTAAGTCCAGGTTTGTGGGAACATACAGAACAATTTATTTTGTTGCACTGTCCTATGCTGTCCACTCTATGGATCTAGCAAACGGAATATATATTTTTAAGTAGATGAGAAATGTATGCTCGGAATAAATTCAGGTACATACCCAAATCAAAGATATAACTTTAACTGTGAAGAGAAGTGTGGCTCAGATGGGACACTTGTTTGCAGGGAACAAACGCTGGCAAACAAGAACGGCCATGGATCGTTCAGCAAAGATGAAAATGCACCAGATGGGAGATAATATGGAGTGATGAAATTAGTGCAGTGGTTTTATCAATCCATTTGTGCATCAATATAACTTGAAATCTATAAACATAGAACACAATGCCGTACTAAATCTGTAGTGCGTATTAATATTTATGGCACAGCGGTGAAGTGCACAAGTCAAAATTAGAATTCAGCATTTTCATATCCTGGTCAGGAGGGGGGGGGGGGTCAGCCAATCATTTTTCCGAGGTCTGTAAAATATTTACCACGTTATAGATGTTTTTACTTGAACGTGCATACAGAATATCCACCGTTAGATCTGGGCTGTAAATAGATGAGCCACCCCACAATCCACTCAGTGAGATCCCACCCACACTTTGGAAATTTGTTGAAAACGAAGTTATTAAACATTAAAACAAATTGCCATGCTCATCTGAGCACGACACAACTTCGGCTCTGATTTTAAGACTGTGCGTGCGTATGTGCGTCTCGACTGTATTACGATTCGTTGTGGTGTGGGTGCGTTATAATGCACCTGGCAGTGTAATTTTGATGGGGACGTATTGCGGTCGGCCGTTCTCCCCAATGTTGCCCAGCTCCGGGAGGAAGACGTCCCTCCTGTTGGCCAACAGCCGGTCACCGGTTGTTGCATCGCGAAACAACCAAGGGTGGCCTGCACAAGAAACGCATAACATGCAGACAGTTTTGTACGCACGCATGTATGTTGAACTTCTTTCACGCCGTACGTAGCCAACCGTGTTAATCGGGGGTAATTTTGAAACTTTCGTGATACACATTACATATATATGTCACATCCAATATTTATAAATTAAAATGAGGCATATGAGGTTGTCATACCTGTCAGCCCATACGATTTACCTGTATTCTTGTTAAGGGACATTAATCTAGATTTGAATTTTCGTGACTGCAGGGATCCATACTCTTTGGTTCTTTCGGTAAAGTCACGTAGGTAGAAAATAAAATAAATTAAATCACGACGTCTCGGGCGCAACACAAGCGTCCATCATCAGGTGGGACAACCACCAAAAGGAAATTAAGTTTTCAGGTCCATTCGGCATACAGCCGTTTCAATAAGGGAAAAACATTTTTGTCTATTTGTTTGTATTTCTCCCTTGTGATGAGACTTTTCAGGATGAACGGTGAGATTTAAAAGGACACGGGGTGACCAATAAGGTCTGAATAGGTCTGCAATAAGGTTGGCACTGACAAGGGGCTGACAGATATATGACGTCGATTCCATTTTATGCAAGTAATATGGGTGTTTTATTATGCAATTGCAAATGTTATTGGGAATGTAAATGTTGGTATGTCGAGGTGTGTGCATCATGAATTTAAGACAGATTATCAGAAGAGTAGGGGAAGTGGTGTGCACTATGCATTATATTACATTTTGAAGGAAGAGAGGTTAATTTTGTTAGCACACCGTATCACAATCCACGTGACCCAGGTTTGCTTTCTAGCCGATTGGCAGCAAGATAACAAGACATTCCAAAATAATGTTTTTCGAAAAATTAAAAAGAAACACGACTATCCAAGTGAGATCGCAACGCCTGCGAGTGTGGCAGCAGTTACTCAGGATTGTCACTCCCACCAAACCAGCCAATCTACTGCCAGGAATACAACTCCGTGCAACATGGCCAACTTGACATCATCGCTCCGTGCACTTCATTCGATTTGTGGGCGAGATAAGCACGTGTTTTAGTGTCGTTTATATTCGTTATTAATGTTATGAACAATATTTTTGACATTGACGATCAACTTACAAATGTCTTGACTAGCCCCGATCCCTTGATCCCCTAAATTTTCCACAGAGGATGTTCAAAAATTTATTTGCCATCAAAATTACATACCTGAAATAAGATATCCACCTCCGCTGAATAATATATGTCGTTATCTATTTCCAAGTCCTTTTTTTATACTGATATTATTTACATCCTTCCTTGATAAAAAAAAAAAGATAATGGATATATCGAGGAGCGCTGTACAGTACATTTATTGTATTACCACACGAACCCTCGCCTGAAAAGCCCTCTGCTAGATAGGAGACCTCAACCTTGTAAATAAGCTCCTGAACATATTGCCATCGTAAGCGAAAATCTAATTGTATTCGTCATCTTCTTGGTTCTTTCGGTAAAGTCACGTAGAAGGGAAATAATTTAATAATAGAAATAAAACATCATAAAATAAAATTCTCACGTTTCGGCGGACGCTGTCTTTCCGACAGACCTGTTCTTCACCTGAGGATGGCTGCTTGCGTTGTGGCCGAAACGTCGTGAGAATTTTATTTTATTCTGTTTTATTTTTATTATTTTATTATTTCCCTTCTAGGTGACTTTACCGAAAGAACCAAGAAGATGAATCCCTGCAGTCACGAAAGCTTTAAATTGAAACGTATTCGTCATTATTATTATTCCCTTTCCCCTGGACCCATGCCGACAACGCGAGAGAGATGGCCTTAGCCGGAGCTCGCCGATGAGACAGACCCACGTAAGTGTTGATGGAGAGGGCCCGCTGAGACGGGATGTCGGCGTAGGGCACGGGCACTCCCTGGAAGTCGAGCCACAGCGGGCGCGCCAGGCGCTGCGTGTAGTTGCAGAGCAGCGCGAACGAGCGAGCCCGGCTCCTCGCCGAGCGAAGCTCCCGCCCCTCGCGCGCGCCTAACCGCGGGTTCTCGGGCATCGGGGACCCCTGCGCTGTGGGCGAACGTCAAAATGAAGAGTCAGAATCGAAAGCGACGTTTTTGTACCCTCACACCTCTTCTCAAATTTTCAGTTTTCATTTCAGTTTCATTTATTAGGTATAGCCCTGCGAGCCATTCGGCTCTTGACTCGGGTGCAATCGCAACAAACAAAAACATGAACAAGGAACATCTTAAAGTGATTCTAGATTTGAAGCTTTCGTGACTGCAATGATTCATACTCTTAGCTCTTTCGGTAAAGTCACGTAGGTAAAAAATGAAATTAAAATTAATAAAAAATTAAAACAATAAAATCACGACGTTTCGGAGGCAACACAAGCTTCAGATATTTTGCTGTGACAGTTTCACCTGAAGACGGAAGCTTGTGTTGCCTCTGAAACATCGTGATTTTATTGTTTTTATTTTTTATAAATTTTCATTTTTTACCTACGTGACTTTACCGAAAGAACTAAGAGTATCTTAAAGTGACTACGCACAAACAGAAAAATCCAGGAAAGAACAGCCTAAGTCTCCCAGAAATGAGCGATGGGGCAGTACTCGACGCTCATCTCTGCCGAGATGTCGCGCCAAAGTAGTGGTGGTAGCTTGCGAAAAACGTAGGGTTGTGACGGCTCAACATTTTACTGGGATTCCAAATGTAATAACTGCCACCCCAACTACCATCGCTCAAATGATGGGGACGGGTGCATAATTTGATGCCGGGTACTGCGATATAATTTTCATTGATCTATCCAATCAAATGAGAAATGGGGGGGGGGGGGAGGGGTGCTTATCTTTGTTGATGGCTTACAGACAAACAGGAATATTTCAACATGTACCAGTTGACCCTTCACCAGGCCACACTGACAAGTGTGAAGAATGGCCAACCACCAGGACTGACACGGCTTAGGGAGGAGGCCTTCATCCAACAGTAGATTGATTGAGGACTATGAGTTGACGTTATTTATTTAAAGTATTTTTTACTGGATAGGAAGCAGATATATGTATCTACTTCAAAAACGTATCCAATGCACCTAGATAAAAAAACAAGTCTTTCATAGTTTCCAAATGTATTTAGGACGTACGAAATAATATTTACATGCAACAAATGACATGCAATTACCGAGAGCTTATGACAATGTTACAGTGAACTGTCATTAAACTCTTGAATAATCAGAGGCCTCTTGTCAATCCACTGCTCGATGGAGACCACTCCACCATGCCTTTTCAGACATGGGTGGTTATTTGATCATATTTCACCACACTACGAGTTGGTGTTCAGGCAGAGCAGAGGTGGAGAGCACAGACGTACAATTGCCCTCGCTGCAAATATTTATCCTCTTGATTCTTTACATGTGCTTTTTTACATTTTAGATCCTACATGCCCCATAGCAAGGGCTAAATTGTCTCCATAAGTGATGTGACAATTCATTGAACCACGCTTGGGTTGGTAAACTCCATACCAAGACGCGCATCCATCTGTGAAAAACTTTATAGCTCACTGGATTCCTCCAGTATAAATATTCTGATTCTACACTAATACTCAGACAAGGACTACACCGAAGTAACTACGGTTACACGACATTTGAACCAATTGCACTAACACCAGCCCCTCCGTCAGTCCACTGAAAGATGGGAGCCTCCCCATGCTGGTCTGTGGGCTATTTGACCATACTTCACCACGCTGGTCAGTGAGTGGTTGGTGAAGGCGTGGGAGCATCGTGAAACAGCTCAGCACAAGAGAGCAGCCTATAACACCTGCTATGCACAGCGGTCGACCCCATCCACACACCTATCAACCCCTTATCAGCGCCCTATCTTACTGCAGACCAATTCAGACCTCATTGGTCACCCCGTGCCCTTATACATCTCAACGTTCATCCTACAACGTCCCATCACAAGGGAGAAACACAAAGACACAAATATTTGTTGCCTGTATTGAAACGGCTGTATTCCGTATGAACCCGAAATCCATTTACCCTGCACACAAATACGAAGTAAACCGTATGGGTTGACAGGTATGGTAGTGTACAGTTGTGTAGTGTATAGTGTAGTGTATAGTAGTGGTGTATCCCATAGCTATTAACCCCTTATCAGTGCCCTATCTTATTCGAGACAAATTCAGACCTCATTGGTCACCACGTGCCCTTATAAACCTCAAAGTTCATCCTACAAAGACCCATCACAAGGGAGACACACAAACAAGACACTTTTTTGCGCGTATTGAAACGTCTGACCGCAGTAAACTCAATTTCCCAGCACAACAAGAATACACGGTCATGCATCCGTCGCCACATTAAGGAGGAAGACGTACCCACAACAACAACACCAGATTTGAAGCTTTCGTGACTGCAAGGATTCATACTCTTAGTTCTTTCGGTAAAGTCACCACGTAGGTAAAAAAAATGAAATTAAATTAATAAAAAAACAATAAAATCACGACGTTTCGGAGGCAACACAAGTCTCACTTGATGCAGCAAATCTGGCTGTGACGGTCCCACCTGATAACGGAGACTTGTGTTGCCTCCGAAACGTCGTGATTTTATTGTTTTATATTAATTTTTTATTTCATTTATTTACCTACGTGACTTTACCGAAAGAACTAAGAGTATGACACCAACACCACCACCACCACCAGGCCCTATCTACCCAAACATTAAATACTAAACCCGTGGCACGAATTCCAACCCCAGCCACGCTTCGCTTCCGAGATGGGGGGGCCCCGTTGATGAAAGCCACGTGTGGGGGGCCAGGGGCCACGTCGCCTGAGTCCCACCGCCAAAAGTTGTTCAACTCGACGGCGAATTGATCAACAAAGCAAATCGAATCAAGACTCGGACACGCCGTGATGGCGAGGGCCGGTCGCCTTCATCGTCAACGCGTCTCGTTGTTGTCGTTGTTGTTGTCGTCGTTCAATCTACGAGCGCTACCTATTGCATCGTGCATTGACGTCTCGCCCTATACCAACGATGTAAAATACAACAAATAAAACAAACTAAAGCGACTCGGGGGTTGAAGATGCAAACCTTGCGCGCCGATAGTTGTTTTGGTTCGTACCCACAATGCAGCGGTCGACCGGATATCACGTGGTGCTGCATTTTACCCACGTTGCCCCCCCCCTCGCCTTCCTCCACCACCAACCGTCATAAGTCACGTGCTTGTGTTTTCTTCGCCGCCACGTCCACCCGAAAACCCGCCCATCACATCCGCTCCACCCCACCCCATTGCACCCCACCCCATCCCATTGCACCCCACCCCATCCCACCCTACCCACCTACTCCACACCACCCTACCCCACCCCATCCCACTCAACCCCACCCCACCCTACCAAAGTTGCCCCCCCCCCTTCACCCCACCCTAAACCACCCTACACCACCCCACCCTACCCCAATCCCACCCCACCCGACACCACCCTACCCTACACCACCCCATCCCACCCTACCCCATCCCACCCCACCCTACACCACCCCACCCCACCCTACCCCATCCCACCCCACACTACCCCACACCTCCCCACCCCACCCTACCCCATCCCACCCCACCATACCCCATCCCACCCTACACCACCCCACCATACAACACCCTAGCCCACCCTACCACACCCAGCCCTACACCACCCACCCACCCCGCCCTACCACAACCTGCCCGACCCCACTCACCCACCCAACCCCCCCACGCCCGGACCGCCTTTGTCTCCCCAATTGATGATGTTTTACACACCGCACCGGGTACTGTACTTGTTTGAGGCTGAATCGACCTATAGGAGGGCCCAGCACCGGTTCAGATAACCGTCACTGGTGTTGGTGGCCGTGAGTGGTAATCGGACTCAGGTTACCGGGTTCGCAGAGCAGCGCGCTAACCGCTGCACCACCGCTCCCCAGCCACGCCGGTGTTGGCCACGTGGACGCTGAGTTGGAAACAGCTGATCCCAGCAGAGGGCAGCACTGGTCCAGGCGTGGCTACAACCTGCCCGAATGAATTGGGGAAATTAATGAATGGGTGGTTAAGTACATGGCTGATAGGTATTGTGGATGAATAGGGGGATTCGTGAATGGGTGGATGGATGGATGATTGGAACTCATCGTATTTTATATAGCGTCTTGACCAAGGCGCTTGACAGATAATTGAAAATGGTTCTTGTGAATGTGTAGTGGGTTCACAGGCGTAAGCGGTGGCGATAAAGGTGAATAAAATACACGAAGGGAAATAATGGGCGAACCTGGGGTGCGTGAATTCAGTTAAAGACAAATGGATGAGCGCGAATGATGCTGACTGAATTGGATGGATAGGAAGTGAGTGGTAGCCATGGGGAGATTATGAATAGGGAACAGGAATGGTAGTGGTGAGAAGGGAGAGATTCAGGGATCGTGGGATGAGTTAGGGGGAAGAAACAGTGATTTTTTTAGGGAGGGGCTGAAACTAATTAGCGAAGTTGACTGCTTAACGTGGAGGGGAAGTTTGTTCCAGTGAAGGAGGCACAGAGAGGGGCAACAGATTGAGAACGTCGAGGGCGAGACGGAGACGCAGAATGATACAAGAGTGGCAAGAAAGGGTGGGGCAAAGCCATGAAGGGATTTGTCGTCCAGGGTGAGGCATTTGAACAGGTAAAGATAATAAACAGGGAGCCAATGAAGTTGGGCCAGAAGAGTCGAGGTATGATGATTGTGGGGACGGTTGGATGTGATATGTGCAGAAGGGTAAAAAACCAATTATCATATTTTTACTGGCAAATGAGGTTCCCATAATGTGCAGCGCTGTTTAGGATTTGTTGGGAAAGTCCAAACAGAAGAGAGGTAGATTACAATAGCCCAGTCGAGTAAAGATGAGGGCATGAATGAGGAAGTTTTGCAACAGGGGTTGAAGTAATAGATGAATGGTTGTATACATGAATAGCTGAATACAAAGATGGAACACTTAGGTGTATAAATGAATAGTTGAATGAATGGATGAGTGAACGGATGAAGGCATGTATGTATGGCGAGGTGGATACATGGCAGGATAAAATAATTCATGAATGCATGCATCAATGGTTAACGGATAGATAGATAGATATATGGATTAATTGTGGATCAATGAACTGGTGAGTGGATGTATACAGTAGATGGATTGACAAAGGGATGGCTAATCGCTATATCGATGAATGAATGGATAAATGAATGGCCGATGGATGACGAGATGGATTCGTGAGAAGGTGGATGATGAATGGATGAATCGGTGAATACATGAATGGATGGATAATGTAATGGTTTTTGTTGAAGTTCTGTTATTACATCTATCGCCAACAGCAGCGCTTAAAGTAAAAAAAACACACAGTTACTGTGTAAAAGTGTTATCGGCCAGTGCGAGGTACAAATGCAGTCGTAAAGTTAGAGGTGGGTAAAGTCCACTTCCACCGAAGTATTGGGCGCATTATTCAATGTCTGCTTGATGCTACGAGTTGAGGGCTGAGTGAGTTGACGTGTATTCTTTTTCATCTTTTTTTTTTCGGGATGATTGTACACGACACATTGAAGCGATGTTCCACCCTCCATCATCAACCATGCCCTGTGTCAGTGTTCTTCACTCATCTTCAGCAGGGGGAACACTTTCGCCGATCAGACGTCGTCAGTGTGAGGGCTGCCACACCCGATTACAAGGCAGTGTTGTTCACTATTTTTAAATCCTTTATATTAAGTTCGCTTGCTTGCGTGCTTGCTTGCTTACGACCGTGCAAATCTTTCGGTCGTTTTTTAACACACTTCCCGTGATCCAATCGAGCTGACATTTTCCACACAGACTCGTTGTGCGTGACAATTAATTTTCGTGACAATGTTTTTTCCAAAATTTTACACTGTTTAGGGAAAAAAAATTTAAATATTGAATTACCAATTGCTTAATGCTGGCAGACAATCATCTGACCCATAGGTGGCAGCCATCTCAAGCCAGAGGACGAGAGGACTCTAGCCGCCACGCATATAAAGGATTTAGAGTGAAAAACTTTCTTTTTACGGGTTAATTTTTTATATTCTTGGGTCTTTCGGAAAAGTCACGTAGATAGGTTCAATTCCTGCAGTCACGAAAGCTTTAAGTCAAGATTTATTGTGTTCACTGTTTGTTTATTGTCGAAGGCCGCGCTCGAGGCTACCAGGGCTGTCAGTAGCCCGCGGGCCTTGCGATGAAGAACGCCGTTTCTATGCCATCGCCATCCATTACAATCCTGTGGTGATGCCACTAATTTTGGTTCTTTCGGTAAAGTCACGTAGAAGGGAAATAATAAAATAATACAAATATAAATTCACAGCAATGAAATTTGAAAAAATATTTCCTGCTGTGGATTTCACACCTGATGATGTTTGCTTGTGTTGCAGTCGAAACGTCGTGCGAATGTTTATTGTTTTATATATTTATTATTTTATTTTTTCCCTTCTACGTGACGTTACCGAAAGAACCAATAATATGAATCCCTGCAGTCACGAAAGAAGCTTTAAATCCAAATTTATGATAGCTCTAATTAGCATTTTCGTTTTATTTTCAGTTTCTCTGTCAACCCATCCAGTTACAATTATTTAACGACGGATGACACCTTCAGGGGCACCTGGCGTTATATAATGTTAGGGATTTTTACTTTAAACATATTTGGATGGTGAAGGAGAATGTACAGAATGTATTTTTTTGTTTTCAAGAACACGTTGGCAATTGGTGCTCATTGCTGCATGTGTGGAATCCGTAAACTTGAAACACTGAAGTTCCTTTCATTGCAAACTTGTTATGGAGAATGTTTAATTGTATTACATGGCATGAACTTTGGACATGTATGTACCATTACCTTAAGACGTAATTTGAATGGATCATGTATGTACCATGCTTTTAATTTATGGGGTCTTTTAATTGATGAGGAATCTCATTCAGCTTTTATTTTTACTTGTATGAATTGCTGCTGATTTCTTGGCTGTGGACAAGTTTTGAGATTATAGTACAGTACTGTATTTTCAGCATCACAAGTCGGGTTATCAACTCTGAGGCATATAATTTGAAGATTATTTCACAACACGGGAGGAGGGGCGAACTAGACGAACAGGCATTTATATCCTTCAGTGAGTCATTTAGTATTACACAACTGACAAACACCATGTCGCAGGAAGACTTACAGATTTCCCAGGACAGACAACAAGAGGATGATCCTGGGAAAACCAAGATAGGTGGCAACGCAATTTACAAGTGACAGAGGTGATCATTTCTATCGAAAAGCCGCCTACCTGAAGCCACTTACAACAATTCACCTTCTCGCCGACGTTTTCCGTGCTTGAACCCAACACTTCATGTGAAGTGAATTTAAGTCGTATCACCATGGTGTATTACAAACAGCGATAAGTACAGTACATTTATTTTTTTGGAATGTGTATATTATTGAAATATAAACCCTGTTAAAGCTCTGGCCAATGTGCTGTATTAGCCATGCGACCCGTGTGGCGTGTGACTTCATCCCGACTCAAAGAGGAAACAATCCCATGGTACATCTGGACAGTTTAAAAAGCTGGAGTTGAACATGTGGCTTGATGAAAGGCGAGCCACGGTAATTGCCCTGCTGCGAATCCTCTTTTTAGGCGATACAAACGTGCGTCATGCACTGTGTCGGAAGGTTTTCGCAAGGTAAATATCTCCGGGCAAAATGTATCCCGTGGTGACCTGTCCCACGAATTTGGTATGTAAAATTGGGTATGTTGCAACCTGCTTACCAAGGTTTAGAATGTATGGCATGAAAAGATGTTAGTATAGCGCGCAGTTTAAAAAATCCACTATGTTTATCATCTAATAATACATAATAAATGGGCCTGTGTTCATCCACTGCTGCATAAAGGTCTACCTATGATGTGTCACGTATGGGGGGTTATTTGACCACACTTCACTACCCTGGTTAGTCCAGAACTGGTTCAGATGTCACTGGTTCACTGGCGTTAGCGGTGGCCAGGAATCAAAGTCAGCTCACCGGGTTAGAAGGCAGTGAGAAAACCACCGCCACCGCTCAACCGAATTGTGAACAACATTTACATCTAAGCGTGAGCTAATACTGGTAGGAACCTCCTGGTTCCACCAGCCCACAGGAAATTATTGTGTCCGTCCGTCGTGCAGGGAGGGGCTGGGTGGGGAGGGAGGGGCTGGGTGGGGAGGGGAGGGTGCGGAGGGGCTGGGTGGGGAGAGTGAGACTGGGTGGGAAGGGAAGGGTGGGGAGGGGCTGGGTGGGAGGGTGGGAGGGGTGGGGCCGGTTAGGGAGGGGCTGGTCACCCCGTGGTGCCCTTATACAACTCAACATTTAACCTACTCACGCCGGCTTGTGCCCGCCCTCACAGTCGGGCATATTTTCGGAATACACCACGCCGCCGTTGACCCTGGCCATTGACCGAGCAACCCAACATTCCTACCAGCTCCCTCCGCAGGAATGTGTTTAACGTTCATTTGTGTTCGTACGTAGTGATTTATCCACTGGTCATCAGCTGCCGGATGTTCTGTATCTCGAGACTTCGCGAGAAACCCTATGCCGTGTGGAGGGCCCCATTGGATAAATTAGCCACACGCGGTGCGATTGTGTACCCTCATCTCGAGAGCGCTCTCCTCGCTGAGTACTCTTCTGTAGCGGAGTGTTGGCATGCGGGTGGCCCATGCACAGCAACCTTTTTGTTGTTGTTGCCCAATCCACTGCTGGATGAGCGCCTTCCCCATGTCAATACGGGTCATGCGTATTCTTGTATCATTCTTCACCACGCTCGCCAGTGTGGGTTTGTAAAGGTGGGGGCATAGAAGTACGGTGCAACAATGCTTTTTTGCTGCACTGCCCTCTGATTCCAAGCGCCCTCTGACGCCAAACGCATAGCCTCGCACAACTAGAACAACCAGTTTCTTCACAGGAACAACCTCGCGTCGTTTCCAAGGTATGACGAAATCGGGTACATTCCGGGTTATTTGGTCACAGGCTGGTAGCGGTTCGGGCACTGTAGTGAACAACCCCGAAACTTCTCTGGGTCCGAGCCATCATCCACCTGTCGTGGCTTCAAACATTATACAAATGTGGTCACACACAGCTGCAGAAACACGTGTGCAGTCATGCAAGACGTAATGCCTGAAACTGCTCCACCCACGTCGACGAACTTACGTAAAGAACAAACAGGCATGGTTCACTGCATCCCATTTCAGGACAGCCCAGAAGGTACAATGAACCTTTGCTTTGCATGAGCAAACATAACTTAACGCTGTAGTAACATTTGAATCGTGTTTCGACACATTTTTAACACTGTATCCACGGCATTTGGCCAGCAGAGAGCAAGACGGTAGCGTAACGCTGAATTAGATCATGCAAATGGAATGCTATGCAAATCTCTATCGCAAAAACAATAACAATGTATCCTAGAAAATACAACTTTTCACGTGCTCATTGCGAAATGAAACAAGGGAGAGTTCTCAACCACTTGGAATAACATCATCGAAAATAAATTGGGACCAGCTGTTGTATAGATGTAAGCGGACATTTACAGTTTTTTTTCTTCTTCACAGAAATGAATTAACGCAATCGTGGAGTCAGGTCACCGTCATTCTATTTCGAAAGACAGGAGATAAAACCGATTTGATGAATTACAGACCCAGTCGCTTCTTTTGGCACGTGTACGTATACGGGTCACGCAGATTATATAGAAACCCTAATGCTGTAATTGGTCATTTAGAGGCCAACCAACTATGACAGCCATCTGAATTGAGAAAGGGGTTCTCTACACATAATGTGCATGCTATCAATACGATTCCAGAAAAGACAAATACATATCAAATACATATCAAATCCCATTTGCCGGGCCCATGTAGGCTACGAAAAGGAATTTGATTATGTGGAAAATAGTGCAGTTACCCAAGCTATGGCATATGAAGGCTTTCATAAATAAACACTGGACTTTATCTAAACTATTTATTCGAAAGCAACAGCAACACAGAGATTACGTAAAAAGGTAACAAAATGCAAATTAAAAAGTATGAGTCGGGCAAGGAGATATAGTCTCACCAAGGCTGTTCACAGTGACCCGAGAAGATATTTTCGAAACATTGGAGAGGATAAATTAAAGGCATGAAGTTAAAAAGTGAATGTAGTAGCCACCCCATGTTGACTGACAATGCAGTCATCATAAGAACTAATGGCAATGACCTACAGTGCAGGAAATTATTGAGAAACATCAACGAGATGCCTTGTGGCAACGCAGGACTGTGATGGATGGCCACAATGAGGGGAGACTTTCATCCAGCAGTGGGTAGATCATGGTTTATGATTACGATAAATGCCAGAAGTACATGGGCAAATGGGACATTTATAAAGTACTAGATTTAACAACACACAAAGATGTCCCTTGCATGTGCCAAAGCTCTCAGCCTTATCTAGCCCACCAGCTTAAAACAACAGCATGCTTGGTCATATTGTTGCTCAGCCTTAGAGCACTATCTCAAAGAAGTTGAGGAAATGTGGCCAACCAACAGATAGCAGTGAAGACCGGGTTTTGGTCTTATTAGGACTCGTCAAGACAGTAAAGTCATCGATGTCCTGCTGCCATATGCGTCTGAGAGCCTCCTATGTGTAAAGGACTTACCTTTTTACATTATGGGGACAGTAATTGAAATGTGTGAAGTAGAATATTTATAGATTTCAATTAACGTTTGTGCTTGCGATGTTTTTTTTTCTCGTCGTGTATCTGAACGGTATAACATCTGCACCGTCGAAAGGACGCCGATAACAACGGAGCCGAAAACAGCTGATTGGACCCTTCCTGCTGAATGAAATCAAATCAATCTATCTGAGAATTTACCAATTACAGATTTGAATTAAGTTATACTACTGGAAAGAGCACGCAACGCAGGCGATCTGCGTGCTCCAACAGCAGAAATATATTAGCGATAACAAACTCAATGTTTTGTGTTTGGAGTCTGCAGGGTGGTCTAGATATCTTGTGACGCCCATATAATCCTCCAAAGCGTAATATTTTTCAAAAATAAGGTTTATTTAAAAACATAAGCGAATATGCAAGGCAAGGGAAAAACACATGTTCGGGTTTAATTAATTGGGGGGGTCACAATATATCTGGGACCACCCTTTACAACAACCGAGCGTTGCTGGAGGCTACGCTTTGTAGCACTGGCTGCATTAAGCGTGACAGGCGACGTGGACTCCACACATCGCACGGCTAACACAGGGCACACCCTGGGAGACTACAGGAGAAGATGCATGCAGCAGCAGCAGCGAGAGGAGTAGCGAGCATCACTTCATTCACCTCCCCGCCGTGTTCCCCGAGGGTTTGCGGGCGATGAAAGGCAGAGGTGGGCTCCGTAGGTGAATGGGCGAGTGAGCTACGGATGAGGATGGTGGGTGGGGAAGGTGGTGGTGGTGGAGGAGGAGGTAAAAGAAAAGTGGAGTAGTGGGTGGGAGCTGTTGGGAGCTGGTGGGAGGGCGGGCGTTGCAATGAGGAAGTGTTGGGTGTTCTCGTTGCAGCATTTGAAAAGCTGAAGGGCATCAGCCAGACCAGCAGCAGCAGCAACAGCAGACTCTGTGTTGGACCGGGAATCTGTGTTGGAGCGAGATCACCAGGCTGAACACCTGGCTACAGGAAAGGTAATCGCAAGGAGCTTCTCTCGTATGTTCGCTGGTCTCAGTGACACACACACACACCTGTGACATGCGCACTTAGATTAATATTACGGAGCCAGTTTCATTGACATACATACAGCGCGTGTGTGTTGTCTACCTCCAGATAGCTTTTTTTTATTATACATACACAGCCGACGATGTGTTTTTCATATGAAGGTGTGTGTATAATTTAATTGTTTCTGCTGCAGTTGATTTTTGTGATTAACATGAAATATATTGTTCGCACAACTTCTAAAGGAAATTAATGATCAATGTTTCAGCCGGCTTAGCGTTCTCTTTCAGGGGGACATTTGTAAGTATATTTACTACTTTCGTACAGTATAGCTGTTTGATTTAGTTTAGATAAAATCAGGGAAGTGGGGGTGATTTGTCTGTTATTGACAGTAAAAAGAAAAGTGTAAATCCTAAAAAATATTATTTTATACTTAATTTGTTTATTATAACTAAAGCAGGGACTTTTCTTTGCTGTACTCCGTAGAACCGATATTGAGTTTTCTCTGTCACATGAACGGCGGATGGAAACTGCTCCGACTCCACGGCCTAGATTGGAACTGTTGCTCTGATGGCTAAATATGCCTATTGGTTTTTTTTACATTCGATGTCGTGTACACTTTTTTTTTGCTTTCTTTTTCATGTTAAGTAAAAGTATTTTTTTAATTAACGCATTAATACAAACAAATGTGTGCCTCTATGCTGGTTGGGGTATAAAAGAGTAATGCGCCGGGTTAAGAGGAGTTCAAAACAAATCATTCACTGACAATGACGTGGAAATAAAACCCGAACATGTTTGTGTTTAACTTTGTATGACACCAAATAAAAGGGGGGGGGGGGTGACCTTTCTTTAGTTACTGACAGGAGGGAGAGGAGACGAAGGGATTGACTGACTTCATAGCTGAGGGTTACACGTCACGGGACCTTGAGAAAACGGGACAACATTTTGAGACTTGAGAGATGATTTATAAAAAAAAAATAACGAATTTTTAAACCGAAGAGGATTTCGAGCTACCTTGCACTGTGCGAAAAATTCGGAGGCCTTAATTTAGATTTTTTTTGTGCCCATGGGCTGACATCGGTGGCGAATGAAATCCGAACGAGTCTCTGGGAACAAAAAAAAACCCAACCTTCGCTCACCACCGAGCAGCGTGAAGTGTGACCAAACGACCCTGACGTCCGACGCGATGGGATTATTTTAACCGGTGTTGACTCTTAATTTTTAATGACTACCACCTCGAGCCTCGCTGGAGATCAGTGGTTCTTAACCTTTACTGCAGCCTGCGCCAGTTTGGTTCTCCGAAAGGGCATCTCGCATCCCCAGGTGGTGCGTGCACCCCAGGTTAAGAACCACTGCTGTAGATGGCCACCTGTTCAATCAAAGGCTAGTCATGTATCTTCAAATTCTTTCCCACCCTACGTAGCCAACCGTGCTAATCGGAGGTGCAGGGAAGGACAGAAAACTATTGGTTTAGCCATGTTTGTTTGTTGTAGTACAGAGTTAGACTGATGGCCTTAATATAAGTTGTCTTATGGTTATTGTTGTTGTTTGACTCGCATCCCACTGGGATTTTTGCACACAGCGTTGGTGTACGGTGTTTTTTTCTGCAATATTTTGCTGTCTTTTCTTGGATTTTCTGTTTGCACTTAGTCACATATTCACTTTAAGATGTTTCTTGGTCATGTTTTTGTTTTTTGTTTGTTGCGGTTGCACCCGATTCAAGAGCCGAATGGCTCACAGGGCTATACCTAATAAATGAACTTGAACTTGAACACACAAAAATACAGTTTTTAAGAAATTCGTTTTCAGTTCAGGATTAAAAGTGCATCGCTCCAGTGGCTTCCTAACATCGGAAGGGAGAGAGCGTTCCAGACGGCCGCAGAAGCTCATCCGAAAGCGCGCGATGCGGTGACCGTCCTTGCTCGATGGCGAGCAACAAGCCTGTGCTGTGAGGATGAACTAAGCTCGCGCGATGGTTCATGTTCTTTGACGAGATCAGAAAATTTGCTTCAAATTGTCATCACGAGTGGTCATATTCTCGCTGCCTGTGTTCAAGTCAAGTTCGTTTATCTTCCGTGAGCACGATTAGCACGGTTGGTGGTTACGTACGGTGCGAAAGAAGTTCCAACATAGGTACGTGGCACCTTTTCTGGCCTAAAATCACCTCGTGCTACAGAGGGGACAGCTGCCACGGGTGGGTTCCTGTCGTAGTGCGCCTTGAAACGTAACGAATGGGAGGTGCGATAAAAATAAATATTCACTCGTGATGACGATGATGCTTTCAGCCACCTTGGGTCGGTTTTTTTTATTTGCGCTCATGCGCAACTGCTGACGGCAGTCTCCATTAATTATTTTCGTTTAAAATAGCAGATGCGACTGGATTCATTCATTCTTGCCCAGTTCTCTCGGCGTTCAGTTGAGTTGCGGCCTCGTTGCCAATAAGCACGTGCACATCGTTACTCGCGGACAATGAACCCTCTGGAGTAAATGGTTGTCGCCTGAACGTGCGGTGCTGATTTATACAACAAATTAACATTCGAATCTTTCAATCAGTATAATGATTACACTTCATGCAGGCCTAACATGTGCTTTTTTATTTTTTACAAAGCTTTTATCACCACTAGATTGTAAAGGTGTAATATAAATGTGTATGTACAGCCCTTTGTCAATCCACTGCTCAATAAATACCTCTCCACGCTGCGTCACTCATGGGGGTTGTTTGACCATACTTCACCACGCCTGTTTAGGGCTGGTGGGTGACCTGTTTAGGCGATCGTCGCTGTGGCAGGGACTCAAACTCAGCTTGCCATGTTGATAGCTCGGTGCGCGAACCACTGCACCACCTCTCTGCCCAAATGCTGTTTAAATTGCATTTAAATTCTAACACATAAAGCGCGTACTGATCTGTACCGTGACCTATGTAACCATACTTGTAACTAAAATCTGTCCCGTATAACATTTGTACCGTTTGCAGGACACCCACATATATATATACATATGCTTACAAGCTCACTGTGCCCTTCCTGCTGCTAGAGTAAATAACATCTATAAATTATACTCGGGTGTTATTCCAGGCTTTGTGCTCAAGACGCTATCAGGTGAACATGGGATCTTGAGTTTGTCTTGATAGGTAGATCTTCACCAATGTCTGCAAACCTTCTTTATACCATCTACACAGTATTTTAGAGTCTTAGCAATGCAATGTGCGGTGTATCACGTTTACACAAGACAATGTGTGTCTGTATGGACACAAATTGTGCTTTTATTGGCCACACACATGCAACTGCGTGGCTTCTGCTTGTGCAATACAGAAATGAATTAGGTCATCAATGAGTGAACAACTGGGCATATTTAAACCAGCACCACTACTAGTCCCTAAGTGCTGCCCTTGCACAAGAGGTATCAGGTTAACCCGTTGCCCAAAAAGTGCATAATTCCTGCAACTCTTTTCTGCGTTTATATATTTGAAGAAGAAGAAGGAAAAAAAAAGGAATTATTTTAGGCTCTTCAAGAATGTGCCCTTCTACAAAATTACGGCAGGTTGCCTTGGGACAAAAAAAACAAAAGCGATGATTGCCTTTATCCTCAAACAAGTCCAGCCTGTTGAGTGAGCAACAAGAGGAATGTTAATTCACCGCTCGTTATCTGTGGATGCTGCCATGGTGTTGACTGGTGATCACGCGAGACTCGCGACCCCTTGATCGCCGGTTCAATCTCCGCGGAGTGTGGCAGTCGACATAATGGACACGTTTATTGTATCCTCCCCTCCCCCCCCAAAGCATGTATCCACCCAGTGGTAAAATGAGTTCATCACAACTTAGTAAAACGGTGGGTCACGTGTGGGTCACGTGTGGTGGGGTAAAGTGTGGGTGCTCCCACCTCTTCCAAGATGCCTGGCCTGCGTGGAAGAGTAGGCCAAAATAAGCTATCTCTAGAGTGACTATAGCTCCCTTCTGCCAGCAGTGGCAGGTGCAAGATATTTCAGGGCTGCACCTTAACCTTCTATGGTGTCCACATAACTCTTGCCTAGATGATGAAAGGATAGCACTGACAATGACTACTTGCAAGGGATGTCAGACCACTAATAGCAGTGTCATTGACCGACTTGATGATTGCAATCGCGCGTTTTAGTACATTTTAATTTCAAAATAATTGCTGCTCACAGTGGGCTCCGGTGAGTGGAAATTAGATATTTGTATGGAAACGATTGACCTTTGGATTTGACATCATTGCTTGAATGTGTTGCGTGAAGCAGCAGAGCAGTGGTCGCCACGTCATTTAGCAACCTGCACTGACCAGCATAGTGAGGTTATGGTAAAACAAAAAACCGCATGACTAACATGGCGCAGAGAGATCTTAATGCACTGGCGTGTATTAGGAATGACTGGAATTTGTTAGTTTTACATGTTGAAAGGTGTTTTTTTTTATGTTTGACACTTGGTTAAAAACGTGAAGGTGAGCTAAAGTAGTGAACTATTTGTCTTTTGTCAACGTAACACCTTTTTGCTGATTGGCCGTGTCGGGTGGTGGAGGGTTACGACACATTTATAAATAACCCAAAAACGTTTATTATCAAGTGAAGGGTGTATTTTTATTTATTTTCTGTCAAAAAAAAACTGGGCTGACATTGGGTAAACTGGCGTCGTCCAGTCCAATGTGGCTCAGCTTGGCGAAGTGTAGCTTTATTTTAGCTACAATTCCTGTGGTTGTAACTTTACCGTGCAGTGTGTGTAGGCTCACCTGTATCTCGTTTACGCTCCCTTTCTCCCTTCCACCCTCGTGTGTGCGCCAAGGCGAACGGGGAGCGGGAGAGACGCTTGCGACGTTAACAGAATGAGGCTGTCAGGTGAGTCATTTGTGTTGTTGTTTTTACGCAATGAGGCGTTTTCACAATGGCCCCTTCCCTCGACAAACATGACACCCGTCCTCGTTAAGTCACCATCGTCTCCGACGTGTGTAAAAGGAGGCACTTGGTTTAGGGCATAGGTTGGTTTTTTTTTGACATGGGGTACGTGAGCTTTTTTGTTTTACGAGCAAATTCCCGTATAATGGATGCTGCCAGCTACAAGGAGCGAGGCTGCGCTTTATGAAAGAAAGAAAACAGCTTCGATGAAAATGTACATCGGTATATTTCAATGTTATACATCGTGTTCAATCCTGACATTAATAAACGCAGGTTTTTTGGTGGTTTAGATCACGTCAATAGAAATGTGTCGTTAAACCCGCCACCACCCGACACAGCCAATTAAACTAAGGTTTGTCACGTAAACAAAAGATGCCAATTTGTCAATAGTTGAGCACACTGGTGTGTTGGAAGAAAACCCACAACATTTACCATTCGAGTACGTGTGGCGGGTTTGTGTTTGGTGATGGCGGGTTTAACGACACATTTATATTTACGCAATCTACCCCAAAAACCTCTGTTATGGATGTGGTTGCGAAAGCCTCCGTGTTAGATTAAGAAATTTAGTTTTCTCCCTCATGATGTGTGCCCAAGCCCCTTTTTTTTTTTTTTACAAAATTCCAATTAGCTTGCATGGGCCCAGTGCGTCCCAAATAAGCTAATAAAGTACCCGCCTCAACTGGAGCTACCCCGGGGGAACACGGGGCCGCATGATGACCCCCTTCACCTGCTGACCTCTGACCCCTGACCCCTGACCCAACATGCTTGTAGGAATGATGGTGAGGGTGCTGGTCATCGCCGGGTGCATTGGCCTCCTGTGGCTGATGCTCAGCAACATTGTGCGCCCCTACGCCCTGCGTGCTCTCGACTTGGAGCTGAGCAAAGGTAACCAACCGGTGTCTTGAGGCGTATTCAGTGAGCGGTATATTCATGCGCACGTATCTATGTATGTATGTTTGTTGAACATCTTTGGCAGCATACGTAGCCAACCATGCCAATTGGAGGTGTTCGTATGTCAGGCAATTAAATTGTCACGGTAATCATGAGTAATATTCATGCATGGGGCGTAGGGGGAAATACAGACTTCGTGCTGAAATTTTTTTAATGAAATAAAAGAAGCACCCAATTTAATGTGCCTCTCCAGTAATTTCCAAGAATTTACAGACTTTGTTCAAACTCACGATGTCCATGACCACCGTTGCCTCGGAATAATTAATCGAAACACATCACCCTCTGCTCAATTCCAATATTGAGGCCTCATCGCTCACGGTTCGCAAAGCTAATGCCCTTTTCGGCTCCGAGCTCTTTGTTTGCCGAGTGGTACCTCCACGTTCCGTTGAGGCAGCGTTACGCACGCGCACATGCATGCACGCACATGCATTGTGCGACACGCGCGGTGCGCATTTGCCGTATTTTGCAATGCAGGTGAAGAAAAATTAACCCGTAAAAACAAAGTTTTTCACTATAAATCCTTTATATGTGTGACAGCTAGAGTCCTCTCGTCCTCTGGTTTGAGATGGCTGCCACCTATGGGTCAGATGATTGCCTGCCACCATTAAGCAATTGGTAATTAAATATAATTTATTTTTTCCTAAAAAGTGTAACATTTTGGAAAAAAGAATTTCACGAAAATAAATTGTCACGCACAACGAGTCTGTGTGCAAAATGTCAGCTCGGTTGGATCACGGGAAGTGGGTTAAAAAACGACCAAAAGATTTGCACGGTCGTAAGCGCGCAAGCAAGCAAGTGAACTTAATCTAAATGATTTAAAAAGTGGAGGAAGGGATGTGTTGGATACATTTGTGAAATTGGACAACGGAAAAAACCGTGCTGGTGAGTCCGAACGTGACGTGAACACGCGTTACGAGCACGGGGAAGTTGATGTGATGGAAGTGTGGGATTAGCCCTTCTCCTTTTAGATGCATTTGGGAATATAAATAACTTAATGCGTCTAACCACACAGCGCAATGCTGTACATTTAACGGCACACAGAGACGCGCATCGCGATCGTAAGAGCTGCGCGTCAAATGTTAAATCTATTTGTTCTCCCGCCTGCACTAATTCTGCCAGTCATTTTATCGACCAATAAAGTATGATGGGTTGCACGGATCCCCAGCCAGGATTTTAACTTGAAAACAACTTTGGGTCAAAGGTTCCACCAACATGGCAACGTGGGCCAAAAGGTGCATGTTTACTCCACCTGGCATGAGGCACTTTCATTGCAGTACCCATCTCCCACCCACCCTTGCAAGCACTGTGGCGCTACTTGCAATGTATAGAATTGAATGGCTTTCTCGATACCTTTTTTAATTAAATTCTATAACAATAAGAAAGCACAATAATGCGTCGTTCTGCTGCGCCTATTGAGAAACTTTCATTGACCATGACGCTTTTTACTCTTTGGTTTTTTCGGTAAAGATTAAAAAGGCACAGCAAAATAACTGTAGCTACAATTATTTATAGCTACAGTTATTTTGCTGTACCTTTTTTTCCTGATGAAGGAAGCTTGTGTTGCCTCCGAAACGTCGTGATTTAATTTAGTTGTTTTCATTTATTTTATTTTATTGATTGTTTACCTACGTGACTTCACCGAAAAAAACAAAGAGTATGAATCATTGCAGTCACGAAAGCTTCAAATTTAGAATCGTGACGCTTCTGTGTTTCTCACTGTAGTTCTGTACTGAATGTGATTTAAAAGCCAACATGTTTTTGGGGTATAATGGTGATCCAAACTTCTTGACCAATTTGTACCAAAAATATATTGTTTCCCGGCAAAGTGAAAACGTGGCAAAGATTTGCAAGCGTTGCCCTTGTGCGTTATGTTACACTGTGTTGGAGTTATTTACGCTCAAAGTTAGTCAATGCATGCATTCAGGTACCCGTTCAAGCTCTAGCTGCTTGCCCTTCCTGAACAAACATCTTATCCAGAGGTAATGCATCCGGCGCCTTTGCCGTGGAGTTACAAAAAAAAACCACGCGGTTTAGATGCACTTTGTGCTTCATAATAAACACTCCTGTACGCTTGACTTGCCTTGTGAATAATTAAACAAATATCTATAAATACTGTCTCCGATAGAGCGCCCATTGCTTGCCAAGTGTACACACGTTCCTGTCGCAACTGGCACGCTCCCTCGCGTGTACAGTAATCCTCCTGTGGTTTGAAACACTCGGGAAGATACTGCTGCGATAATATCTCTCTTGCACACAAAAGGCATGCTGTCTGGTTTAACGCATGAGGAAATGAGTGCCCAACTCTATACACATACCAAAGATATCGTCATAATGGTCATAAATGGCTGAAAATATTTCTGTTGATGTATTGTGTTGTCATTGTGCCTTTAACTCAAAAACATTCAAGTGTGGTGCAAGGATGATGAATACCGTACACCAGAAATTAGGACAGAGAGAGAAAAACAAATCGTCACTATAAATGCAAGTTTGTGTGCTGGAGAAATCACTTAACGGAGTGGCCGGTTTTGATTGCTCATTGGAGTCACGTACAGCTGAATTACAATCTCCCCCCCCCCAGCCCTTCTTCACATTATCGCCGTATCTATCAGTTAGCCGAAACACCTTTTCGTTATTTTGCGGGTCACTCCGCGTTTAACCGGAATAGCAAAAAAAATTAACCCGTAAAAACAAAGTTTTTCACTATAAATCCTTTATATGCGTGGCATCGGTTTTATTTTATTATTCATTTATGTTTTTCTTGAGTTTGAGTTTCATTTTTATCACATTGGTATTTTAATTTAAATATGAAATTTTTTTTCCTAAAAAGTGGAAAATTTTGGAAAATAAATTGTCACGCACAACGAGTCTGTGTGCAAAATGTCAGCTCGATTGGATCACGGGAAGTGGGTTAAAAAACGACCGAAAGATTTGCACGGTCGTAAGCGCGCAAGCAAGCAAGTGAACTTAATACAAAGGATTTAAAAAGTCGCGCAAGGCTGCGTGCGTGCGTGCTATCCAGCGGCGGCGCTCGCCTTTAAACATTGTGGCGACAGCCGTGAGAAGGCTGTCAAGTAGGGCTGAACAAGTATGGCTGAACAATTAATCGATTTCAAATCGAAATCGCAATTTGAAACAATGCGATTAGCTAATCGCAAAGGCTGCGATTTTTTTGCAGATTTGAAAAGTCCTGTTACTTTATTATTGGAATTGTTTTATTTTTGTAACTTTATTTAACTTAACAATTGTTCTATGTTTGATTGTTCTATTTTAGTTAAAACATTAATAAATACATGTTGGAAGCAATTAATATATTTTAAGTTCTCATCCTTACATTATAATATATAGAGCAATTCGTATTTTGATGGTATCATGTGGTAATGCTCCATCACGTGTTTTAAATTTAATACACAGTCAATATTGAACTGAAACTTGACTTTAAAAAAATGTAATCGCAAATCAAATATCTGTCAGAAAAATCGCAATTAGATATTTTCCCCAAATCTTCCAGCTCTACTGTGAAGCCACCCTGTATTTTATTCCAACGAGAGCTCCGTCGGATCCGAAGTCTCCCCGTAAGGGAAGGTGACTTGCATCCCACGTGTTGGGAATGGAGGGAAAATCGGAGTGGCTGAGAAGTTCTCTCGTACAGGAGAGTATTTCACTCAAACTTTATTTCTATAGCACTATTCATGCAACAAAAAAAATGCAATACATAATGCTTGACAGGCATGACCACTTAAAGGCGTGTCCAGATGGGTTCCATTGACCCATTTACTGTACTACCAGCTGTTGGCCGTTTGGAGACCCATTTGGGTTTGGACTTTACCAACCTTGTCCCCAAATGGATAGTCACAGGCATGCACCGTGACATGGGTACCTGTGTTTTGTAGCTTTATATTTGTTGTGTTAACCAGTGAATTGCACCGTTTCGTGTCTGCTAATTGCTTTACAGAAGAGCTATTGCCTGCAACATGAAGCTCGCTTCAAGCATTTCAGCTATAAATCTGTATTAATAATGAACATGGGGAGTGCTATTATTGATCTATTTGCAGTATTTATTTGTACCACGCGTATGCCTACATGTCAGCATTGGGACATTATCATGGGCAGTTGAGTTTCATGGCTGTTGAAAATTAAAACTATTTTGGACAATATTATAATATAGTTAAGTGGGAATTTCTCATTCAGGTATATAAATAGCTTTGGTTAAAGACAAAAGAGGGTTATTTTTTTATTTTACTGGAACAGTGGAGGCTGATCGCTTCATTGATCAGACGCTGAGCTCATTGCGGTCAGCGCGTGTCACACGTGGAAATATAGCCGCTTTGCCAGACCCTGATTATCCATTATGCCAGGGTCGGTCACGCCATTGAGTCATTCTCTCCAGGGGCTCACAGCCTCGGAGTGTCTGTGCTTCCCTGTGCTGCAGCAGTGCGGGTTTGTGAACCCAGGGCACGATTATCAAATTACAGTTATCAAATGTGCTGCTTTAATCGGCACAGGACTGCGTTCGGAAAAAGGCTGTCCCAATATCCAGAAGCATCGGTGTGGCACAACGAACACATTTCGAGTCGTGAAATTATAACCACACCTGGTCGTTTTTTCCAGGAAATCTCCCTTGAGAGCGGTAACCAGGGCTCCGCTTGCTTAGCCGTCTGAGATCCGAACCAGCTGAGGCACATTCCAGGTGATTTGTTATTGTAGATAAGACGAGCAAGGCAACAAACTGGCTGTTGCCAGCAAGCATGGTGGAGCCACGGGGCCCTAGGCATGGGAGATGCCCTGACGGACAGGATTGTCTTTGCTTAAAGGTGCTCACGCTGGGCACGTTCGTCTTAATCATCACGCGAACTCCGGACACCCTCACAGCAGTGGCGGCTTTTGGCGAACCCATCGAACAAAGACGGTCACCGCATCGCGTGCTTTCAGACGCGCTTCTGCGGCCGTCCGGAACGCTCTTCCGATACTAGGAAGCCACCGAAGCTACGCACTTTCGAATCTTGATCGAAAACGAATTTCTTTAGAACAGCTTTTGCATTTAGTTTGTTGTCTTTCCTCCGGACCTCCGAACAGCACGCTTGGCTTCGTGCGGTGCGAATAAAGTTCAACATACACATATATATTTCTTACTATATACAATTATATAAATTGGACTCAAGCTTGGAGCTACACATGTGTAGTGTTGTACAGACGGACTCTTCGATGTCTTTTAGTAGCACACTCTTTTATTTGTGAATACAGTCCCTATGCATTGAGGGGTATACGGTCCCCTCACCCGTTACACTCCGAACGTACAAGCCTACAGGCTACTCATACCCCGCTCCTTCAGTGTCCTCTGACTGGACCTAGGGAGATGTCTCCCTGACCACTGGTTACTCTGAACCCTAGCCCTTATAAGGGCTGGAGGGCTTGGTCCAGGGTCCTATGCTTCTTCCGCCGTCTTGGGTCTTCGTGTCGTCGAACTCCCCGAGAGCTCTGAGCGTTCTGGCTTTATACTCGTTCGTGGCCGGGTTGTCCAATCCCCGGCCACCTTGTGGAACCCTGTGATTGGTCGTTCCCAATCTGCTTTTCGATCCCAATTCACCCTATCTGACCCTGACCGTTAGGTCGCGCGGGAAAACCTTGTTTACGGTCAGCTCTCACAACTTGCGAGACCCTGACCGTTAGTTTGAGCGGGAAAACCTTGTCAACGATTAGCTCTCCCAGTTTGTGAATATCGAGTGGGTAACTCTACTACACATGTATCAATGTAAATGGGCAACAAGGAGGGTACTAAAATGGGATTAGGTGACACTCAACCTTGACTACAGTTTTAGAGATGGATATATGTGGCTGGTTTATTTGAAACTGGCGCTCTTTAGTATTATGATACATGCGTCATTGATAACGTAACATTTGTAGGTATTGTTGGATGTGATTATCTTGAAGACTCGATGAGTTTCCAGCAAGTAGGTGGCAGGAGCACGACCAGACTTTGGAAGTTTGGGGCATTTAACGAGCGAACGGTTCCCAATTGTTTATTGGGGTTTGATCACGGACAGGATCCGCAAACTTCGTTCCCACTTCATCACGGATAAGATGATTGATACTCTACCAAAACTATATGAATTCTATGCAGCTATTGGTCCTACTGTGCATGCTCTACTGTGTATTTAAAGGTACTGTCGTCAGTGCATATTGGCTTTTACGCCATCTCGTTGAAGGGAGGAACAAAATGTTACAAAAAATGTCACGAGTCTCTCTTAGCCAGCTCTAAACGTGTCTTTCACGTGCATTGCTTGTCTCGACACCCACGACATGCCACAGCGGGTGCAGCCTTGGTAGGTGGCGAGTTCACAATACGATGACAGATTTTTTTTATCAACAAACGTGGGCTCTGCTGGTGGAATACCGATGTGTAAGCGTCATCTCCCTTTATCTTTGTGCTGTAAGCCCTTCTGTCGAGACGTCTCGTACGCGGCGATGTCGATCGCGACCCTTCTTGCACTCGCTTGGTAACGTGATAGATACCAAGCATGTTTGCGCGTGTTTCTTTTAAACCTTTGGCGATAAAAGCCGCTTGCAGAGGAGTGTGGAATTACTCGGCATCATCGCCGCCGATCAAATCTGATGTCGGCGCATCCGATCTTAGGTAAGAATGGCACAAGTGAGAACTAGGAATAGGTAGCACAATGAAACGGGACTGCATTAGCAGTTACAAGTACCGTACTAACAGTTGTACACAGATCTGAATGAAAGAGATGGTTAACCCTAACCTTTTGATTATTTCTTGTGCCATTTTTATCGTACCATTTTTTCCCTGTGCCGTTTCTACCAGCCACCCCATTCCACATACCACGCACCTGGACGTAGCAATCAGGTTCCGTAGGCTCGCTGCGTAGTAAGCACGCGTGCGTTGCTCTCTTTCCGAGCAACAACCGTGTTTTGTCGCCTTCATGGTTAATATTTGTTTCCTCTCCTTCCAGATGAGAGCAAAACGGAAAAGAAAATCGGTAAGTCGCATTAAGACACCGGACAAATTCTCGCCACCTGCTCGCATCCATTCAATGATACTTCTCTATTGGCTATGATCCACCCCACGTTCTACCCTGATTGCTAATTCTCCCAGGGCTATATTGTAATCATTGTTGTTGAATGCAATACGATTTTTGTTCGTATTGCATTAAAAAAAATACACCTGTATCTCCAGATGCTGAATCTATTGCAGGCGATTGGAATCAAACTGTGTCACCTCCTTGCTAATCCACTGCTGCTCCAACGATGTAGCGATGGAGTGTGCAGGCGGTGTAACTGCACCGGGACCCACCGGCCCCCGAGGGGCCCTGGCTCCGGGCTATAAATCTCGGGGAAGCTGGGCAGGGCCCACGCTAATCGCAATGCATTTGGGCCAAAAATAGAGTGCTGGCTAAATGCACGTTCCCAAGTAGAGGCACTGTTTTGTATCACTTTTGAATTGAACAGAAATCCAAAGTGAAATCCCACTCCTTCAATCATAGGGTCGTTTTCATCTCATATTTACTGCTCTGAGCCAAAGGTGGAGAGGACACGTTCATATCGTGGAGGCGGGTCTTTCCACAGCACAACCACTGACGACTTCCCCACAAAGTGGTCTTCCTGCTGTTAACCTTAGAGCCAAGTTGAACCCCAACGAGGATTTTTACATACTCGTAACCTTACGTTCGAGAGTCGTGCTCTCTAACGCTGTACTATGGATATAAATAAACGGGAGCACGGTTGTACTGAAATGTCACTCTACTGCTGTGTCAACACCCACACATCATCCTCAGTCTCGGAACTTAAGCAAGTTCGAGCCTGGTTAGTAATGTTATTGGTAGGTTAATCCTATGAAATTGGGTTCCGCACTTAAATTGGCTACATTCAAGCTCTCTGGCACATATAGAAACAAAAATTGGTGCTACTCATGTGGCAAACATTGCTTCTATAGCATTTGGGAAAGTGCTGCCACCCTAATGTGTGGATCAATGTGTGGATCAGCGGTTTCTTCAAGGGATCTCCGAAATAGCTCTGATGTCCTTTCTGCGTGATTGCCAACTATTATTAGGTGTAAGCAGTTTTCCGTTGCTTAATTTGCAGATGGCGAGAAAAGATTGGTAATCAGAGACTGGAATTGCGAAACACTGTTAGGAGTTTTCTCCTCTGCCAGCATGATTTACAATTGTTGTTCTGCATACTAAATATTAGTTGTTATATTTTACCAGTTTATCAATTATGCACAGTTGTGACACCGTATATCACTTATCATTAAAGACCCAGGTTCAGTTGCTAATGACGCATGTCATAACATGCCATGGGCTTCTTGCGTTGACTCTGCTTAAAATAAACAGCCCGTTGCCTCGAGGTTCACTCTATGGGTAGGGAGACAAAGGCCACGTGATGTGGTGCTGACTCCAAAGGTACACCGCGTGCTTTGCTGGCCGTTGGCCGCAGGGGTCGGCAATCAAAGCAACCAAGAAGAGACCTTTTTTTTCAAATTCGGTAATAAAAAAACTTAACTCAGTATACCAAGAGCCACAATGCACTGTGTGGTGAATACGAGACGGTGGGTCCTTAAAAACAACGTCACGAAGCAGTCCTCAAAGGTTGCCGACCGCTGGCCTAACCAATCCGAAAAGTAACATTTCAAAACGTGCACGAAGCCCGACTGTGGTAGCGTCGTTGTTGTTGTGAGTCTAAAACGCCCCACTGCAAGACAACAGCCTCCACCATTGTCTTTCATTCCTTCCTTTCCTTCGTTGTTCTTGTCCAGTCAATGGCCTCAACTCTGTGATGTCCGAGAAATGTTTTTTTTACCCTTCTATCTGGCAACAAAACTGACACCTTTTTTACAAGGAGTCATGTTTGCATAGACCACAATACCTGCAGTCATAATGCAAACAAAAAACATAACTCTGATAATATATGCACTGTCCTTGAAGTTGATTGGTCCACACCCAAGACAGCTTTCCTTAGAGCCTAGTCTCACATGGGTTGGACTAGATGACGCCAATAGGCGCACAACTCAAAGACAATGCACCCTCAGAGTTTGAGAGCTCGGGGTAAGCATTTACACCATTGTAACCTCATTTGCCAGTAAAAAATATGATAATTGTTTTTTTACCCTTCTCTCTGGCAACAAAACTGACACCTTTCTTACAAGGAGTCATGTTTGCATAGACCACAATACCTGCAGCCATAATGCAAAAAAAAACATAACTGATAATATATGCACTGTCCTTGAAGTTGATTGTTCCACACCCAAGACAGCTTTCCTTAGAGCCTAGTCTCACATGAGTTGGACCAGATGACGCCAAAAGGCGCACAACTCATGATGTCCTCCAACGGCGAACTCCTTCGCGATCTCTCTCTCTCCGCTTATCTTCTCTCGTTCGGCCTCCACTCCGAAACTTCGTGTTTGTTTCTCGCCCCTCTTCGGTTTTCCTCGCCACGTCTCTGACGCCCATTGCCACTTTAAACTTTCTTCACGTTAACAAAGTCGTTGGTCACTTCTTGTTCGCACGTCTTCATTTTTTACGTAACCCTTTGACTTGCTTCTAACGCACTTCTTTCCATAGATGTTTAGCAAACATTCAACTCGGAAACGGGTAAAACAAATGCAATCTACAAGTAATTTTGTGTACGCATACCTATATTTTCCATTTTTTTCCGAGATTTATATTTCACAATATTTATACAAAACGTGTTTCGTTACATTGCACATCTGTGCATACCGTTTAACAAAGCAGGATGTAAAGCACAATATGTCAAACGTTAGATTTAATTTGTTTAAAGTTGTGTTAAAAAAAGAAACCCACCCACATTTTCCTCTTACATTGCATCATTATTCTCTTAGTAAGTCGCAACTTAAAGTGCACCCACAGCAAATATGTATCGAGGATACACTTTGGAAAAAAAAAAACTAAAATTAGCAAAGACAATGCCTTGAGTAAACGGAAAGACTATTTGCAGTAAATTTCTATTTAAAGCTTTCGTGACTGCAGAGATTCATCTTCTTGGTTCTTTCGGTAAAGTCACGTAGAAGGGAAATAATAAAATAATAAAAATAAAACATAATAAAATAGTTCTCACGACGTTTCGGCCACAACGCAAGCAGCCGTCCTCAGGTGAAGACCAGGTCTGTCGGGGAGACAGCGTCTGACGCTGAGGACGGCTGCTTGCGTTGTGGCTGAAACGTCGTGAGAACTATTTTATTATGTTTTATTTTTATTATTTTATTATTTCCCTTCTACGTGACTTTACCGAAAGACCCAAGAAGACAATTTGCATTGATGAAATCCTGTTTGACTTCATAGCTATTTTTCGCCCCATGGGCGAGTTGCACTTTGCAGCAGAACATGTGGTGAGAATCAGCAAGCCGAGTCCAGAGAGAAACAAAGGCAGGGGTTTGGGCACACTCTCTGGCAATGAGATAACTATATATTAAACTCATACTGGTAGGAACCTCCTGGTTACACCAGCCCACAGGGGATTATTGTGTCCGTCGTGCAGGGAGGGGCTGGGTGGGGAGGGAGGGGCTGGGTGGGGAGGGGAGGGTGGGGAGGGGCTGGGTGGGGAGGGGCTGGGTGGGGAGGGGCTGGGTGGGGAAGGTGGGGAGGGGCTGGGTGGGGGGTGGGAGGGGTGGGGCTGGGTGGGGAGGGGCTGGTCACCCCGTGGTGCCCTTATAAAACTCAACGTTTAACCTACTCACGCCGGCTTGTGCCCGCCCTCACAGTCGGCATATTTGCGGAATACACCACGCCGCCGTTGACCCTGGCCATTGACCGAGAAACCCAACGTTCCTACCAGCTCCCTCCGCAGGAATGTGTTGCCAATGAGTTCGAGGACAGAGATTGTATCTGGCCACACTTTTATCCCTCTGGCGTGTACCCTCATCCATCCGATCTTGTGAGAAAGAAGGTGGCGTATGCGGCACATATCCTAATAGGGTCACGGCCGGAGATATGACGAAGATGATTGTGTGAGTGTGAAATGGAAAGGAGGAGGGGAAGAGAAAGGAAACTGATTAATCATTTGGACAATGTGATACAGTTGGAGGCTGAAGATCACAGAAGGTGGAAATCATTTATCATCGATAATAAGCCTCAGTTATGACACCAGATGGATAGATCCCTTCTCACTCTCTCGGCCTCTCATATGCTACCTCGCCTTCAGGTTGCTTTACCTTTGTCTCCCTGAGTAATAGCTGATATTTGCCTCCACTTCACTGTGTGATCTTACGCGCCTAACTCTGTTTATGCCTTTGACCAAATCGCCCGGAATGCGGCGATCCAGTCAGATATGATACGCTAAGAAGGCCTGAGTCTGGATAGGCCTCGAATCAGTGACCACCGTGCATAGAACAGGTTGTTGTTATAGGCTGCTGCAGCGCTGCGCTATCAGCGGAGGGCAGTGAAGCGAATTCCAGTGTTGTGCTGTGCTCTGCTCCAGTGTCTTTGCTATCCATCTTCACCGAGCTGCGCTGGCCAGCGTTGTGAAGAGACGCATCTGATTGCACCTCCCCAAGAGGCTCCTTGTCCCCATTTCATATCCGCGAAAGAAAAATGGTGCACAGCTCTCGGACGTGGTTTTCTTTTTGGTTGTACCGCACGATGTCCCGACGTTTCGCTCCCAGCCCGTGGAGACGGCGGCACCACGTGGAGCGAAACGTCTGACGTAACGGTAGGACAACCTCGTGGTGAAAGCCGAGAGCCCAGAGGAGAGAGACACACAGCACAATGGCGAAAGCCTCGAGCCCCAGTAAGTTGGTGCCCTGTTTGCCTATGCAACGCCTTCACTGCGGGAGCGCACATTGGGATTCGATTGTGATTTCAGCTGCCGCCGATGAGCCATCTCGAGGCGTTTGTTCCAGAGGCGCAGCTGCACTTTCATTAATTTTGAAACGTATCACCATGCATGCACAGCTGAGTTGTCGGGCAACATTATATATGTGTACTAAAACATCTGAGCTCTCCCCCGCTCCCCACTCTGGCTGATA